ACATCCAAACTGCAAGGGAATTCTCCCTGCTCTGCCTTCAAAATTTATCAAGAATCCAACCACCTCTCACTACCCTGTACATCAATAATATGGATGTAATAAATTTTTATATTATTATAAAAATTATGATATGTAACAAATATTTTATATTATTATTTACTTCTGTCTCCTCCCACTAGAATGTAAGTTCCTTGAGGGCAGCAATTTTTGTCTGTTTTGTTCAGTGATGCATCCTCAGTTTCTAGGTATTTCACAAATATTTTTAATAAATGAATTAATAAAATTATAAATCCCCATAACTCTACCAGCCCTGAGAGTCTGTGCCATAAGCAGGCAATTTCTTTCCCTTGCACACATTTTATTTTTCAATGAATTATCACAGTAAACACACCTCCTTAGCTAACTACCATGTCAAGAAATAGATGTCTACCAGAGTCATGAGTAAGTACCTATGCTTCTTATCCTCAGCATCTAGCATTATGTCAAACATCTAACAGGTACTCCATAAATATTTGTGTAATTAATTAATTTGATTCCAACCATTTTCTTCAAAAGCAGAGTCACTACTCTGCTACCTTGGAAAGAACACAGCAAACTCAAAAACAAATGCATGTAACAGCATGCATTGCCCTTTTGGAAAACATAGATTCACTGAGTTATGTAGATTTTCCAGACTTTGACACTTTTCATTACATGTATTTTACAAGTCATATTTGTTATATGACTACCATCTCATCTGGAAAGTCTTTTAAGGTTGATAAGATGTCAAGCTTGTGATAGCAGACACGAATTTTCCCAAAATTCTAACTTTCACTTGAGAGCCCTACTTTTATCATTGGCAACAAAAATTGTCAGTTGTTTTCTTTGAAGTGTTAGGCTCATTTCATTCATATTTGAGACAATGTCTGGCCAAATCTCCATGTCTGAATAATTATACTTTGTCAGCATTCTTTCAAGTAAAAACAGCATTCCAAAAAGAGACAGATTCGTGTTTTTCCTCATGACAAGCCTTGTAATTCAGTTACAGCCAAAGTGCTATATACTTTATGCATACTTCCCACATCACATAGAATATTAAAAAGACATTTACTACAGAATAAAGATTATTAAAATTTAAAAATTTTACTACTTCATCAAAGATATTCTTGAGTAAAATTGGCTTTATTTATTTAATTTTTTTTTAGAGTACCTGACAATGAAGGATACAGTGACTACTGGTACACTTTGGCGTCACTGCACTGCTTCCTGATGAGGCACCAGGAGTATTACCCATCATTGCTTTTGTTCAATCAGTGCAAATGTCAACACAGGGTGGGGAGTGGAGACAAAAACATTTTACTATTATTATGAAAATAGTTTTGACCTCACAAAGTCCTGAAAGGGGTTTCAGGACCCCCTAGGAATTCACAAACCACATTTTGAAAACTACTGACTTACAACATTGCAATGGCTCATTCACACTGGAATAAATTAAATTTTTTTCCCAAGAATGTAAATAGCTGCATACACAACTTTTAAGATTTCTATTTCACAGTCAAAACAATCCTGGAAAAGATTTTTAGAACAAAACAAAGTTAATGGACTCAAACTTTCTGATTTTTAAAACTTTCTTAAAAAGCTACAGTAATCAATGCAGCATGGTACTAGCATAAGGATAAACATTAATAAATATAATCTATAAATATAGATATATATAAATATAATCTATAAATATTATAGAATTCAGAGTCCAGAAATACACTCTAATATTTAAGGTCAATTGATTTTCAACAAAAGAGCCAGGGCAATTCCATGGGTAAAGAATAGTCTTTTCAAAAAATAATGCTGGAACAATATTCAGCTCAATTCAACATTTGTTCACAAAAGCCCTACTTGGCAATCTACAGTGCACTGGAACTCACCTGTAGTCAAATTTGTGTTATTTGACCCTGGCTTAGCAAGGAGACTGTCCACTATGAGAAATCATGGGGTGGCTTAGTAAGAGGCTGTTAGAGGGGCTTATTGTAGGATTTGAGCTTGTGCCAGGCAATTTGGGGGAGGACTCCAGGAAGTAGGAGTTTGCTCTGAATTGGGTGTTGTCAGCAAGTGGGATAGTTCTATGAGATTAGGCATCTTAGCTTCAAGTTCTTGAAGTCCCTCTCACCTACTCAAAGACATCAGCTCCAGCAATTCTGTAGCGCCTCCCCCCACCCATCACAACCTCAATTTTTCCATCCCCATAAGAATATGGGGATGGAAAAGGATAAAGGATAAAGAATCCTTTATCCTTTAAAGGATAAAGGATCCACATGCAAAAGGATAAAGTTGGACCCCTACCTCAACCATACACAAAAATTATCTTAAGCCATACAAAAAAATTAACTCAAAAAATAGGCCTAAATGTAAAAACAAAATAGAACTATAATACTCTTAGAAGAAAATGTATGAGTAAATCTTTATTATTTTGGGTTATCAATGATTTCTTTTTTTTTTTTTTTTTTTTTTCAGTTTTTTAACTGCTTCTTTTTTTGGTACCCATTTAGATATTATGATTTTACTCCTGGGCTCAAGTGATCCTCCTGCCTCAGCCTCCCAAATAGCTGGGACTACAGGCACGCACCACCATGCCCGGCTAATTTTTTTGTATATATACTTTTAGTTGGTCAATTAATTTCTTTCTATTTTTAGTAGAGACAGGGTCTCGCTCAGGCTGGTTTCGAACTCCCAACCTCGAGCAATCCGCCCGCCTCAGCCTCCCAGAGTGCTAGGATTACAGGCGTGAGCCACCGCGCCCGGCTAATGATTTCTTAAATATGACAGCAAAGGCACAAGGAATAATAGAGATTGATAAGTTGGATTTCATTAAAATTACAAATTTGGGGCCGGGCATGATAGCTCATGCCTGTAATCCTGCACTATGGGAGGCTGAGGTGGGAGGATTGCTTGAGGTTAGGAGTTTTGAGATCAGCCTGAGAAGAGCAAGAACCCATCTTTACAAAAGGTAGAAAAATTGGCCAGGTGTGGTGATGTGACTCAAAACCACAATGAGATGCTATTTCACACCCACTAGAAGAACAATTATTTTAAAAAAAATAATAATATTGACAATGATGTAGAGAAATTAGAACACTTGTACTTTGTTGGTGGGTATATAAAATGGTGCAGCCACTTTGGAAAACAGTTTAGAAGTTTCTCAAAATGTTAAACCTAGAGTTATATGACCCAGTAATTTCACTCCTAGGTATAGACCCATGAGAAATGAAAACATATGTCCACACAAAGATTTATAGATGAATGTTCATAGAGGCATTATTCATAATAGCTAAAAAGTAGAAATAACTCAAATGCCCATAACTGATGAACAATTGAATAAAATGTATTATATCCATATAATGGAATATTATTTGGCAATAAAAGGAATGAAATACTGAGACATGTTACAATATGGATGAAACTCAAAAGTATTAAACTAAACGAAAGAAGTCAGTCACAAAAAAACCACATATTGTATGATTCCATTTATATCAAAAGTCAAGAATAGGCAAATCCAGACAGACAGTAGAATAGAAGTTGCCTAATGGGGGTGACTGCTAATGGGCAAAGGCTTCTTTGGGGATGATGAAGATTTTCTAGAATTAGATTTTGGTGATGGCTACGCAACTCTGTAAATACATTAAAATCCATTGAATTGTACACTTTAAATGGCTGACCTTTATGGCATGTAAATTATCTCATAAAACTGTTACAAGTCAACATAAATAGAAGAATAGCAACCACATTCACATAAAAAGAAACAAAACTATCAATGGTTCCTTTAAGAAATGCTAAGTATAGTCAGTTAAAATTTGATTTGTTTTTAAAGTCTGCACTAAAATGACTCAAGCCAGAAGCAAGGTATCCTGCTGCTATTACTGAAAGTGGCTAACTCTTGGTGCACTAGTAATATCCAGGAAAAGGAAACACAGGGGTCTCAGCAGGGTTCCCTTCTAAGGTCACGTGATTTCTAAAGAAGTAACCACTAGGTCTGAAGTCATCAGGGTGTTAACGGTGGTGAGGGTGGTTGTTTCAACACCAAACATCCTGACAGAACATATGACCATATGTATGGCAATAGAGACCACATCCTCAGCTCAGAAAAAGAGCTACAAGCATTCCTAATAGAAAGCATACTGCATACTGGTCCTCCAGGGACTGAGGCTCATTCTTCTCAGAGTGAGATGTTCCCCAACACTGGTACAAAATAGCATGTCTGACTCCCATTTTTCTTCTCAGCTAAATACATCAAGAAGGAAGAAAGGATACGAGAGGGGAGGAGGGAGAAACTCAGAGATCACGTCAGTATCTAAAGCTGTAAACTAGGCAGTCAGAGAGCTAGAAAGGGCCAACGGCCGCCGCCCCACCAGCCCATGTCCCCACCCCTGCCACAAACTCCAGGCAGGAGCACAGTGAACCTTTCTCCACAAAGTGGGGAAGGAAAATTGAGGCAGGAGCTTACCAATAAATAAGTCTCCCTACTGTCCTCTACTTACACATGGCCTATTAATTCTTATATAACCCAAGGAGACAGCTAGTAAGAAATGCGATTGGTGACCAATTTTTAGGACCTTTTGCAAAGCTCGAATTTAAGTCTCCAGAGAGCTTCCAGTCATGGATACTGCAGATAGTATTGATGATAAGGAAAGAGTCTTCGAAATCTCACCTGAGACATTTTCCCATCCCCCCCATGTGCCCTGATCTGGTGGCAACAAGGTCCCCTTGCCTCCACCCACCTGGAGGATTCCTCTCCCCCTTCACAGCCCTAGCAAAGGAAATCATGCCCGCTGGCAATGAGCCATCTCTCACTGTTCTCATTTACTTGTGTTTAGTTTCCTAATGCTAAAACTTTGAAATTTGAAAGAAAAAAAAAAAAGACCAAAATGAAACCACATCCTTTTGAGTCTCAGTATATAGGTAGGGGCAGTCAAGAACAGAAAACAGGTTTCCACGTTGATTGATGTGGGGACACCAGCCACAATGAGGAACCCCTCTGCATTTCTGGCATCCTCTCTCTCAGTTGTCATTTTTCTCCTGCTAATTCCTGAAGGTAAGACTGATTCTTGTCATTTCCACTATAACCATGAAGCAAAATGGAGCAGACTTTCAAGAACCATTTGGTAATATTACCTTCTTACACTGAAAGAAGTTTTTTTTTGTTTTTTCCTTAAGCCTTAAAATGCTTAGCATTCTTTCTTGGATTCTAAATATTTCCTTATTTTGGAAGGAAAAAGATCCTTTTTCATCTTATAATTTCTTTACAAAAGATAACAGAACCACCAATGCTTATTGCTGTCAATTTGTAGCTTGAAATAGCAAAAAGTACAGTGGAAAAAGGAGTAAACAAATAAACAAAACATTCTTGAGTTAGTAAAACAAATAGTACCTTTCAGGAACATAATAGTGGTGCCTTCATCAGTTCAGCCTTTCTTGCTGCAGAAAATGAATAGATAGATTTTGGGGGGTTTTCTGTTGTTATTGTTTTCAATATATATCTTTTTCTTCCCAGCTTTAATGAGGTATAATTGACAAATCAAAATTAAATATATTATGGTATATAACATGATGTTTTGATATATGTATATATTATGAAATAATTATCTCAATTTAAAATAAATCTTTGATTTAAATTTTGTTTCTTACTTTATCTATAATTTTAAAGATAGTTAAGACAAATCTGATCTAGACACCAAAAGGGAACCTGGAATAAATTAAATTTTTATAATTATCTCTCTGGGCTTGAATCTCCTTAGAAACCTTAGGACACTGAGCGAGCTCCCACATCCACTCTGGGAGTGTTATACTATGTTTTATTAAGCTACTTCTTTGGTCTGTTAAATGGCAACCAATATCTCTACTTTTGTATGAGTTCCATATGCATGGGTTGAAATGCTGTAAAATTCCTGGCATTACCCATGGAAGGATAATAGCTCCTGGGTAGCTCTGGATTTTCCTTGAAGAACCTACTAGGAAGTGAAGACTACTCTGGACCTGGCACAATGTGGAGCCAGCCATGGTTTCTCCCCAGGGTATATCAGCTTTTGGAGATGGGAATGGTAGGCAGGGGCTTAGGTCAGATATCCCCAATCTTTTTGGCACCAGGGACTGTTTTCATGGAAGACAATTTTTCCATAGACAGGGGTTGGGAGGGATGGTTTCAAATGATTCGAGCACATTACATTTATTGTTCACTTTTATTTCTATTATTATTTTTTTACTACATTGTAATATATAATGAAATGATTATACAACTTACCATAGGCTGGGAGACCCCTGGCTTAGGTAATAACCTATCTTGCCAGGAATTCCCAAAGAGGTTCTCTGGTTTATCCTGCACCTAAAAATGAAAGGAACTGTTAAAATAACAAGGCTGTAAGACATTTGGAACAAACGGTAGGCATGTTGTAAGCATGGCATCGTATGACTACATTCAGGTATGTTAAATCTTCCATAAGAGTGAAAATAGAGCAGATGAAAAAGCCAACCGTATCTTTGCTTCAAAGGAAACAACAAAGGCAACTTGCTCTGCTCCACTTTGTTTCCTGCGTTCAGAGAGAGCGATGTGGGTCCCCGAAGGGAACAGACAACAGCCAAGCAAGGCTGGACGCACTGGGCCAGTGCTCTCAGCTTCCTATACATTCGAATAATCTGAAGGACTTTGAAAAAATACTGACATCATAGCTCCAACCTCAGAAATTCTGATTTAATTCTCAGTAGGGACCAGGAATTTCTAGTTTTTAAAAGCTTCCCACCTACTCCAAACCCTACCCCAGATCCTTCTCAGTGTGGTTCTTTGCAGGACATGTGCACTTATTCTGAGGCAGGTGTATGTGCTCACCAAACGAACAGCACTCTGCAAAAGGGAGTGTTGTATCATGAATTCCAAAGCCCAGAAAGCCCAAAAATGCACCTTTGTAATCTATCTATACATAACTCACCCTTGGGATGTGAGTGAAGTTGTTTTGCTCTCTATAAATTCCTTACCTTTTTATTTCTAGAGCCTAGAATTTCTCCCTCCTGACACCCTTCTAGAAAACAGAGACCTTGTGGTCCCTCTCTTCCCCTTAGCCGCACCCTCCTCAAACCCTTATGAAAGGCTTCTATATCTATTATTCACACCTTTTTTTTTTTTTTTTTTTTTTTTTTTGAGACAGAGTCTCGCTTTGTTGCCCAGGCTAGAGTGAGTGCCGTGGCGTCAGCCTAGCTCACAGCAACCTCAAACTCCTGGGCTCGAGTGATCCTTCTGCCTCAGCCTCCCGGGTAGCTGGGACTACAGGCATGCGCCACCATGCCCGGCTAATTTTTTATATATATATATCAGTTGGCCAATTAATTTCTTTCTATTTATAGTAGAGACGGGGTCTCGCTCTTGCTCAGGCTGGTTTCGAACTCCTGACCTTGAGCAATCCGCCCGCCTCGGCCTCCCAAGAGCTAGGATTACAGGCGTGAGCCACAGCGCCCGGCCTATTATTCACACCTTTCTGTGAATTTGGCAATGAGTTAGCCTTAATGATGGAATAAAAGGCACTGTGCCGTGGTCAAGAAAACATGAATCTCAGCTGATGGTAGGGGGAAATATTTTAGAAGAATCCAAGAACATCTGGTGCAGAGAGTAGAGAGCCGAGAGTATATCCCAAAGACACAAGGTCCTCTCCACCAGCATGTGGTTTGCCTCTTGCTAGTTCTCCTTGTTCTCTAACAATGGGTCTCTACTCCCAGTCTATCATAAAGGAAATTTTGCTAAGGCAGAATTCTCTACTCTTAACATCTTCTCTCCTCCCTTCCCCCACCTCATTGGAAAAGACCTTGGACTAAACCGTTTGCTTTGGTCTGGAGACTGCCAGGGAGTCCGAGGTGTGATAGTTGTTATTTTCTCAATTTACAAGTGAGGACAGTGCAGTTTAATAACCAAAAGTCTCACAATAACCAAAGGACTCATGGTAGGGTCAGAGCTAAAAGGTGCTGATATCTGTTTGTAAGCCTTGATTTTGCAAGGGCTTGGGGTGAAAAGGAATGGCTAATGGCATGGCTTCTGTGGGCAGAAGAGCAAGATCTTCTCAGAGTCCAACAGGAATAGGATTGACATTCAGACGTCTGAAGGTCTGACATTCAAACAGAGGGGGAAATGCTGTCATCCAGGCTTCCTCTCCAAGCACGAACAGCCTGACCAGTCTTACAAACATGGCTCTCTAGAGAGCTCTTTGGGGTGGGCACCAATCTGATTTGCCCTTTTCTATTAAACAGATGCCTGTGTGGAAATTATTGGAGGACATGAAGTAATTCCTCATTCAAGACCCTACATGGTCCTACTTAACATTGACAACAAAAACATCTGTGCTGGCGCTTTGATTGCGGAAGACTGGGTGTTGACTGCAGCTCACTGTGAACTGTAAGTGCCTGGGTTTTTAAAAAAATGTTTGTGAAGATACTCTAATTTGGGAAAGCATTAATAAATAGTGTAAATCCCACTAAAATCACAAGAGGTTCACATGTATTTTTACATCACTAAGTTTTGGGGCACTTGCTTTAATTTAGGCCAAAAGAAAGTGAAGCCCAGCCTTGTCACAAAGAATCAGGCCACTGAGGAAGCAGCATTCATGAGCCCTTTCTGTACGTGTCCACTACAGCCATCGGGTACAGGTGCTGCAAAACTTTGCTTCTGGTCATGACTGTGTGACCAAATAGAATTCGCCACAACATGGAAGGGCAAAACTTTCAGTACCCCTGCAGAGGCCTGGGTACAGCCGTCAAGCAGAGAAAGCGCCTTAGCCCTTAGTGACTTCCTTCACACCTTCAGCCAGCTCCTGTCGACCTTCAAACCTCTTCCCAGTCTTGATCTTTTCTCCACTCCCTAAATCAAGCCTCTAAACCTGGGCTGTCCAATGTGATAGCCACTAGCTACACGTAGCTATATAAATTTAAAGTTAAATAAAATTTCAAATTTAGTTCCTCAGCCACAGTAGGCACGTTTTTAAGTCCTCAGTAGCCACGTGTGGCTAGTGGCTGCCATAATGGACAGTGAATATTTATAAGAGCATTTCACCATCAAAGTGTGATCCACTGGAAAGCACTGTTCTAATGTCTTCTTTTATTTTTTAATTAATTTATTTACTTTTATGGATACATAACAGTTGTACATATTTGAGGAGGGGGGTCCATGTGATATTTTGTCTTAAGTGAGACTAAGCTCAGCTGGTGTCATGGAACGAAAGCAACATGAATATGGTGTAGTTTATAATAATCTGGTTGGTGTCGTTTATACTAGGTTGTGAATGATGACAGCCTTAATGGTGAGTACATGAGAGAGCATTTTGATTTTGTTAATCAGAATGAACCTTTAGCATGGAGTAAGAGAAGGAAAGACTCCTGAACCCCTCCTTAGACCACTGTCCCCCCAACATAAACATCCTCAACACCATGCAAATTGGGTCCTCCACTGAGCAATCTGTTTCTGAAAGTTTTCCCATTTCAGAAGAGTTTGTTGCTCTCTTACAAAGATCCCTTCAGTGCACGACTTTAGAACTATCCACTGCATTTGCTTCTGTCTCTGGACTACTGAGACCTTTGTTTTCTAGTGATTCTCCATCACAGCTAAACAAGGAGGAGAGGGAGAAAAGCTCAAGACTTGGCTTTCCTGCCATATTATCCTCACCTTTGTTTTTCAATGAACCTAGTTTAGCTCTTTATAAATAAGCTGATGGTGATGAGAATGAGAATGCATTCATAAACATCTTACTTTCATCCTTGAAAGCACACATTTTCTTTCTGAGCTACAAAGGAGTACCTCTATCTCCATATTTACAAATGGGACAATGAAACTGATCAGCACGTAATATGCTCACCTCCTAATTAAAAGAATGAACCCAGTAAACAGTGCTGTGTCTGTTCTCAGGAACAAAAAGTCCCAAGTCATTCTTGGAGCTCACTCAACCACCAATAAGGAGCCTGAAAAACAGATCATGTTCGTTAAGAAAGAGTTTCCCTTCCCATGCTATGACCAGGACACACGTGAGGGTGATCTTAAACTTTTACAGGTATGTACCTTTAATTGTCTTCTTAAAAATCACAGAACCTCCTACAATCTGGCCACCTACACAAAAACCTCCCCTCAGTGCCCCTATTGTTACCAGCTCACATAAGGGGACCCTGAGGGTTGGGCTAGAACTTAAGTTAAAATGTTAATATTTGTCTCATCCTATTAATTCTTTATGCTTGTCTTCCAACAGCTGCACAAAAAAGCAAAAATTAACAAAAATGTGGCTGTCATTCGTCTACCTAAAACGGGGGCTGATGTGAAACCAGGAACCATATGTCGAGTTGCAGGGTGGGGGAGGATTCAAAACAAGTCCCCTCCGTCTGATACTCTGAGAGAAGTCAACGTCACCATCATAGACAGAAAAATCTGCAATGATCGAAAGCATTACAATTTTAATCCTGAGATTGTACAGAATATGCTTTGTGCTGGAAGCCCAAAAGGTGGAAAAGACTCATGTGATGTAAGTAAAATAAGATCCCACATTTTAGTTGTTGGAGTAAGTTATGTGGGTACAGAAAATGTAGCACTTTGTCTTGTCATGGCACTGGCTTTGTCTTGTCATGGCACTGGCTTCTACAGGATCCTAGGGCTTTTTGAAAGAAAGTTGACAAAACCCCAGTCAAGTAAATTAATGTTCTCAGCTCAAGTGAGTCATTAATCAAAAATAAGAAGTTCATGGCTAGTGTATGAGTTGACCTACTATATCTTCCCAATTTTATATCAAAAACCACTGCGAAGCAATGGTTTGGTTTTTTGTGGGGTTTTTTTTATCGTTTTTCATACTAACATACAGAGATCCAAACTTGAAGATATGCAAACTCAGAAAAGCTGAAGTCAGGAGTCCTTAAGAGCCTTCAGTACCCTTTCCCCTCTTAGCAGACCTCCTCCCCTGCCTGAGGACCTCAGGCCAGATCCCATCCATAGCTTCCTAGAATTTAGCTTAATCCCCAGTAAACAACTTCCAAATATGACTCACACTAGAGAAAGTGCAAGCCTCCATCCCAGAGTCCCCCGAGAAGGGTGGGACAGGGCTCTGCTTAAAGGCAAAAGTAGAAGAAACACGTCACGGATTTTTAAGCTCTGAGTACTACCTTGTCATTTCTCATTTTTCCTAAAGACTCTATAGAGTATTATTATCCAAAGAAAAGGACTGTTCAGTGTTTATGGTCTGGGAGTTATTAGAGATTGAGAGATCCAAAGTTCTCTGTTCTTTCATGAAACTATGTCTTGCCTTCAGTGCCAAAACTAGCAAAGCCAAAACTAGCCAAACATGACATTTGTCTTCAGCATCTTCTACTTTCTCTTCTTTGCCCTCCTTCACCCATTCCCTCCCCTATCCACCACTCTGGGCACCCAGGAAGCAACCAGAACCTTCATGCTTTTGGAAGCCACGTGCAGCATGGTGAAGCCATGGCAGCATCCCAAGATGCTAGTCCCTTCCCACCAGCCACCCCCACCACTGAACCTTAGCAATCCTTCCCTGTCCTCTAAATAGCCCTGGAATTGGCTATTGAACTAAACCTAAAGGACTAATTCTGCAAATGTCAGGCACTATAACAGGCAGGAGAAATATACCTGCCTGGGGAGGATCCCAGGTTCTCACATGGTTCCTTATTTTGATGCAGGGGGTGTCCCATTGAAGGGAGAAAAGCCCCCTGAATTTGACGAGTGGGTTCTTGGCTTCTCATGGGAAAGAATTCAAGAGTGCGCCAAGTAGCAACAGAAAGTTTATTGAGAGAAAGACAGACAATAATAGAACCTACTCCACAGACAGAGTAGGAGTCCTTTCCCAAGTAGAGGAGGACCCCTTATGGGATAAGGGAAACATTTTTAAATGTTCAAACACTTGTGGTCAGGCCACAAAGGTTAATCATAAACTGCTGTCACAGAAGGGTAAGCATAAACAGTTTGTAAGGCATCAGCTTAGTAATTCATCCATCCTTGGGTGGTCCTGGGCCAGTGACCTGTTGGCAACTTCCTTGCTCACTGTGGCTGCGATCTGGTATTGGCCAAAATGGCTGCACTTAGGCTCTCTTGACCCTCTTTTTCTGCCTACATGAATTTCATGCATTCATACCACTAACTTTTGCCTGAAAGGGATTGCTTTGGCTTTGTTTCTTTGGAAAGACAATTATCTGCTGGAGGAACCAGAAAACATTGTTTTTAGCATTTGCCTTAATATGCCATCTGCATTTGACTATTATACCCTTTGTGTTACTAAGCATTTTGAGAAAATGACAAATAAACAGGAAGCTTTCCTTCCTGAAAGCAGAGAATCAGTCTCAAAATTAGTGGACAACATAAACAAGTTACACTGGTTCATAAACCAAGTGAGCCAATTCAAAAATATTAAAATATTTCCAAACATTTTGATTTTTTAAGCACTAATTTTTAATTAAGTCAAGTATGGTCTTAGATCTACATTCAACGCTGCAGTGTGTCTTCCATTTAGCTCATGGTAATGCTTGAACTGACCCCAACCACCCTCTTTTTTTACCCTAGGGAGATTCTGGGAGCCCTTTGGTATGTGGGGGTGTTCCCCGAGGCATCACTTCCTTTGGCATGGAAAAGAAATGCGGAGACCCTCGGGGGCCTGGTGTCTATACTCTTCTCTCAAAGAGACACCTCAACTGGATAATCAAGACTATGAAAGGGGCGGTTTAGATAACTGCATTTTGTTTCATTTGCTGTCACTTCTTAATCTTTTCACAAATAAAAACATTTTCTATGACTGTACCTGTTTTCCTCCTGTAACTTTTGTGGGTAGCTAGATCTCCACTGGCAAAGTGAAGCCGAGTCATATTGCAACCCTGTGGATAATGCAAAGGAGAGGTCAGGGGGACCAATGTCGCCAGTGTCATCTGTGTGTCAAGTGACGTGGGAATCCTTCCTGAATTATTCACCCCACGACAGTGGGGCCCAGCGCAAGTGACTCTTAAGATTGGGTCTTGTCTAATAATAAGGACAGTAAAGGGCTCAGCAATTCTGTAGGAGACAGAAACAGCCAGTCTGGAGCATTTGGATCAAAAGGAACTGTCTGTCCTTCCACGACCATTGTCCCACATCAACACTTGTTATTCATGTAAGAACTTGAGTCTATGGGACAAAGAGAAACAAAAAATACTTTACCATGTTTTCCAAAGGCACAATAGAAATTAAAATTCTAGGGGATACAAATAAAGTGCCTGGCCATCCAAGAAAAGTATACAAAAGCAAGTCAGCCTTCTTTCTCAGTACCTTGCATTTAAGCTTGGACTGCCTAGGTGATTTCTCAGTTCTCCTTGTCCTCCAGCCTGAGTAGGTCCAATCAACATGGTGATCACAGTGGCTGCCATCCCATAGTAGGGAGGGAGTGTTGAATTGTGTCCAGAATATTTTCTTTGGAAAAAGCCCCCCAAATGGTTTTTCAGCATATTGAATTTAGTAGATAGCTAGATTGAATTTAGATTGAATTTAGTGATCAGCCTGGCAGTCACTTCAAGATATGATTATGTGAACAGATTCCTTCCATTTCTATCAGTCCCTTCAGGAATACAAATTATATATATATTTTTATATATATACACACATATATATACACATACATATATACACATACACACATATACATACATAATATACATTGAAGCAAGAACATATAACACTAAGAGAAAGCCTCTTAAGATGAAGGAAGGAGCATAGCTTAAAAACCGACTAAAATACTAGTACACTGGCTTTCAACCATGGCTGCTCATTATGTAACTAGCCCCATGAACAAATTTCAATAACCCCTATATGTTTGTTCATAATCCTCTCCCTTAACTAACTACTTGACCTTTTGAGTTGCTTCCCAGAAATGGTGGGTTTTCTGCAAGACAAAGGAGCTGACATTCTTTTTTTTCTTTGAGACAAGTCTCCCTCTGTGTCCTGGGTAGAGTGCAGTGGTGTCATAGCTCACTGCAACCTCAAACTCCTGCCTCAGCCTCCCTCCCGAGTAGCTGGGACTACAGGCACACACCATGATGCCCAGCTAATTTTTCTATCAATATTTTTAGTAAAGATAGTGTCTTGCTCTTGCTCTTGCTCAGGCTGTTCTCAAACTCCTGAGTTCAAGCAATCCTCCCCCTCGGCCTCCCAGAGTGCCAGGATTACAGGTGTGAGCCATCTCCCGGGCCAGGACCTAACATTCTGAAGGCCCCTGTGCAGACTTCCTGAGCCAAGATTCACCTCCCCTACAACCTGCCCTCAATGCACCCAGCCCCTTGTTAGGTGCACCTCCACCAGCCCTCCCCAAGGCACATGGCCACACCTTTAAAAGCACATGATCTCCTTTAGTCAGGCAGTTAGATTTCAGACAGCTTCTCACATTCTCCCAACAGACCTCTCTGTCATACTAAAAATTCCTTTCTTCCTGGCTTTCCTTGTTGTCTCAATAACTGAATGTTCCGTGTGTCGAGCAGCTGGACCTAGGCTAAAAGCCCCTTGTGATTTCACCAACAATTAGACTCACCAAGCTCTTTAAAATTATCAATGCCCAGGCCCCACCTCTAAGATTCTGATTTAAATGGTATTTGGTGGGACCTAGGATGTAGTACTCTTCATATGAGCTCCCCAATGATTCTAATATACTGTCAGGGATGAGAACCCTTATATGCAAAGTGAGGTCTGGTGGTAATATCTAAAAGAGAGGCCCAAAGAGAGTCACTAGGATGATATTTTAGATATTTGCTATAATCTCTAATTCCTAGTTAGGATTTTAACTATAGTAAAAGGATAGAATATTCCCTATTAGCAATATTTATTACAGATTTTTGAACTCCATTCAAAAGGTAGTTGTATGGAACCCTCATTCGTTGCTCATGAAAGTTTAAATTAGCACAACTTCTTAGGAAAACTGGTAAAACTCAACATCCACATATTCTATGACCTGGTAATTCCACTCTTGGGTGTATACTAAACAGAAGTGAGTGCTTTTATCCACCAAAGATGTGTTCAAGACTGTGCACAGCATCTTTATTGTTGTAAATCAAAAAAGGAAATAAATATCCATCCACAATAAAAACAGATAACAGTTGTTATATATTTATACAATAAAATATTACACAGCAATGAAAAACACACTATAGTTACATGCAACACAATGTTGAGTAAAAGAAGTGAGACAAAAAAGGAATATATATGGTATGATTCCATTTATCTAAAGTTGACATAAGGAAAAACTAATCCATGGTTACAAGGACAGAATAACAAGGGAGTGTTGACTAGGAGTAGGCACAAGGGACCTTTTTAGGGGATCTGGATGGAGGTTACACATTTATCTATTTAAAAATCATCAAGCTATAAACTTAAGGTTTATGTCCTTTACTTCATGTGAATTATTACTCAATACAAATTTTTAAATTACAAAATAAAAAATCAGTTGTACCCAAGGCTTCTGTTTTGTGTATTATCTGGAATTTTTTTTTTCTTTACGAAAACCATATCCCAAATTTCCCACCAAAACTAGAAGGTAAAAGATATATTAATATTTTTCTTAAATGAGAGCCCCTTATTCACATAGCAGTATTGAGAGAAGTGGCCTTTGATCATCACATAATGTCATGAGAGTGCTAAGACACAAGTCTCCAGAACAGAATGGTGGGGACTCTGGAAATGATCTAATCATCTTGTTCATTTTCTTCTAAACATTTTCTTATAGTTTATAGCTGGCTAATTAAGAAGAGCAAATTAAAACCATTAGCTTAAAGAAGGATGTGCATTGCAGAAAAGTATCACATTTACAGCTTTCAGTGGCCTAAAATTTTCTAAAATAAAAATTACTGGCACTACCAAGCAGATTTTCTAAATTTAAACAACAGGGAAAACAAACAAAAAAAAATTCATTGACAAATTAACACTAATTTTCAGAAGAGTTCTAATTTCCCTTGTATATACTATTCTACTTTTGAATTATCAAAGCTTTGTTTTGTTTTATGGATTTGAGTGGCATAAGGGAGTGTGTATACATCGGTAAAAAATGTTTTATGACAAAGCAAAAAGAAAAGTCAACCAGTATTTATTATCTGGCATGTACAAAACATTCTAAGGAGCACGAAAAAGTATAATGCATGCTCCCTCAACTCTTCAACTTAATTGTTCAGGAAACAAGCATGTTAAAACTAGAATAACCAAAGATTCACATAGTAATAAAAGATTTTTTAAAACAACTATGATAGTATATTAATACCAAATAGGTGATACAGACTAATGCCAAGAATTCAAACCCCAGTAACATCATTTCAAAACACTTCCCCAGGAGGTCAGGACTTGTGCAGGTAAGTAAAGAAAAGGGAGAGAGGAGCAAGAATTCCAGATTAGAAGAAAAGCTCCAAGAAAGGTATCAAGGCAAGAAATCACCAGACTTAGCCAAAGATTAATGTAGGAGATGAAAGGGGATTACCATTAATAAGACAGAGCAGTGGATTGATCAAGCTTGATGAAACCTTAGCAGTGATCAAATCTAAATTCCTATTCTGGCAGATGTTGCGACACATCCAAAGTTACACAGAGCCAAAGCAAGAGCAGGTCCCCGAACTCCAGGTCCTGGGCTCAGGACTCCAGAGATGGAGGCCAAAGGGTTTAGGTAACAGGGCGTCACTGAGATGACAAGCAGGGCACTGAAGGGATCAGCACAATGCTTTTAGAGGCTTAACCCAGCAGTGGTATGGAGACCAAAGATTAAAGACAGGAGGACCAGTTAGAAGGCAGTTACAACAGGCAGGCTGTCACGTAATCAGGACATGACTAGGAGAAACAAAAGGAAAGAGAGCATGGGGTGAACGGAGACAGCGTGGAGCAGAGTAATCAGAAGGCTCCCTGAGTGACAGTAGGAATTTAATAAGTGTTTGTCGAGTGAATGAGTTGTGTTTTCAATGTATTGAGATTGGGCTAAAGCCAGAAAAGGATCTCAAAGAGGAAATATCCAGAGGCAGTCAGAAATATGAGGCTGGAGTTTGGGAGAAAAGTCAGGTGGGGAAAAAGTAGAAACCTTTGCTATAGATACTATTCTGAATAAAATCATGAAGATGAGTCTTGAATGAGAAGAGGAGGAGGAAGAAGAAGAGGAGAAAGAGGAGGAGGAGTAAGAGGAGGAGGAGGAGGAAGAAGAGAAGGAAGGGGAGGAGAAGGAAGAAGAGGAGGAGGAGGAAGAGGAGTAGGAAGAGAAAGAGGAGGAGGAGAGCTGAGAGATCAGAAGTCAAAGTCAGTCTCTGGGAAACGCAACGGGAGGCAGCGGAGGGAAGAAAGTAACCTAGCAAGAAGATGAAAAGGTACATTCACAGCAGGAGGGCACTTCCTCTTGTTCGATGCTCATGACAACCCCATGGAGAAGACACGCCAGCGTTATTATCGTCACTTAGAAATGAGGAGACAAACTTAGCGGGGCTGGGTGACTACAAGCAATTCCACACAGAGGCTGTCCCATCAGCTGCAGCAGAAAACACCCGGGTCTGGTCAGGACTCAAAGCCAGGTGCAGCACTCTGCCTCTGTGGCCTAGGGGGAGAGGGAAAGACAATTCATGTTCCTTCCGCATGACAAGGGCTGTTGCTGTCCCAGATAAAGGGCTCCCCACAGCCAGCAGGTTCAGAGCTGGCTCCTCCCAGGCACGCTGGCAAACACCGCTGGCTGGGGCACTCTCTCCAGTGTCTGAGGGGGCTCTTCAGCGCTTCCCCTTCAGGGCTCTTCCCCCACCCCCACCCTTCCAGCATCCTGTGGCTGCCATAACAAATGACACACACTGTGTGGCTTAAAACAGCAGAAATGTATTCTCTCCAGTTCTGGAGCTGGGAAGTCCGAAATCAAATGGTCCACAGGGCTTCGTTCCCTCAGGAGGCTCTAGGGGGAATTCTGTGCCTGGCCTCTTCTGGTTCCTGGTAGCTGTTGGCAATCCTTGCTTTCTGGCCACTTCACTCCTGTCTTTGTCTCTGTGGTCACATTGCCTCCTCTTGTATGTGTCTGTTCTCTGTGTGTCTCTTATAAGGACACTTGTCATCGGATTTAGGGCCCAGCTGGATAATCCAGGATGATCTCAAGATCCTTAACTTATTTACACCTGCAAATGTAACTTTTCCAAATAAGGTCCCATTCCTAGGTTCCAGGATTTGACATGGATATGTTCTGGGAGACCATTTCTCAGTCTGCTGAACCACTCACACCCTACACTGTTCTCAGTTCTGTCTTCTCTGATCCACCCGCAGCCAGGAATGCCAGCGCTGTGCTCCTGCCACGCAGCCCACCCTCCCCCGAAAGCCATCCCCTTAGAATCCGGTTTCAGGGGGCTAATCAAATAAACTAATGCAGCCTAATGAAAAATGACCTATAAAGCTCTCCCACAAAGCATGTGTGAATCTCACTTAGAAAATTCTAGAGATAATACCCTTCCTGTTATCTTACACTAGTTCTACATGAGGTTAATAGGTATTAAAAATAAAAAGAGTATTACATGGTCACATTAATTTGGGAGCTTTGGGTTAAGAAAATTGAACATATTTCTTTATTTCAGCACTTCTTTACTTTAGGACTTTATCTAGGACTACTACATGCATTGTAAATGTTTTGGAGATGAGGCCACAATAGGCACCACTTCTCAGACTGATTCGACCACAGTGTCCTTTTGACTTGAGCATCTCAAGGGACTAGTGTTCCTTTGAAAATGCTTTGCAAAACCTGACCTATTTCAACAGTGACTTTAATGCTGGAAACTTTAGGGCAAAATAGATGAAGCTGACTCCCTGAAAGGAGATTGGGACTAGGAAAATATGGGCAGGAAGGAGGTCAGATAAGATTTCAAGTGGGTAGGTATTTGGCACCACAACTAAGATCAAACAAGATGGGTGATCAGCTTCTCAAAGGACCCGTCCTGCTCACAGCTCAACTGAGAGCTGGAGTTTCAGAAATGATCTTGTACTCTGATACAAGGTTCTCAGCAGAAAGGAGGGTAAAAACACCATTCCACTCCTGATGGACACATGGCTTAGACACTTGAGGCTTTCTCTATCTACACACATCACTCCCAACGCTCTCCTCTGTGCACACACACCAGTAAGAGGCGCCCCCAAGGGGACGTGGGATTGGCCCTTAAATGTAAAGAAGTTTAGATTCATAGATAAAATGCAGCCCTTATTCTATAGGTGAAGACAGATTTAGATATTAAATGTCTTGCCTAAGGTCACCCAGCGAATTAATGACAGAACCAGAACTAGGATCCAATTCAATGTTCTAACCATTTAGGTCACACTCCAAACTCAGAACAATAATCTCTTTTTTTACGGAAGACCACTGTCCATTATTTTTTTTAAAAAAAAATTAAGACCATATAAATGAAAAGCAACTGGATTTAGTTGTTTTAAAAGGATAAATATGGGAGCCAAGTTCAGTGGCACACACCTGTAGTCCCAGCTACTCAGGAGGACTGTTTGAGCCCAGGAGTTCAGAGCTTCAGTGGACTATGATCGAGTCTGTGAATAGCCACTGCACTCCAAAAAAAAAATGGGGGGGGCGGGGATAAATATAAAACATTGTACTAATGCTTTTTTTTTTTTTTTTTTTGAGACAGAGTCTCACTTTGTTGCCCAGGCTAGAGTGAGTGCCGTGGCGTCAGCCTAGCTCACAGCAACCTCAAACTCCTGGGCTCAAGCAATCCTTCTGCCTCAGCCTCCCGAGTAGCTGGGACTACAGGCATGCGCCACCACGCCCGGCTAATTATATATATATATATTAGTTGGCCAATTAATTTCTTTCTATAGACAGGGTCTTGCTCTTGCTCAGGCTGGTTTCGAACTCCTGACCTCGAGCAATCCACCCGCCTCGGCCTCCCAGAGTGCTAGGATTACAGGCTTGAGTGTACTAATGCTTTTAAATTAAACCTAGGAAAGAAAAGTCTACTTAATAAATATAATAGCTGATAAATATGTCTTTTCTTTTATGTTAAGATGAAGAGGAAGAGAAAGAGGAAAAAGAAATAACAGGAAAAATAATCCCAATTCTTTTCTAAAGCATGCTTTGAAAACTACCTTGAATTAAAAATTGGATAGCTACTTCTATAACTTGTTAGGAAAATGGCATTTGAATTGGAAGCAAAGTCACTGTTAAAGTTCTCTCACATTGATGATCTTAACTTACTAGATAATGGGAAATGCCATCTTTATCTCAGATAAAGGTTCTCTTTTAGGGTTTATATTCCCAAGTTCCAAGAATACTGTGACTGAAAGCATTGAAAGTTTTATTTTCTTTATGCAGCTATATTCCCTCATGAGACTACATATTGATACAGGTGCTGTGAACTGATGAAACCAAGTCAAAGGCCAGATCTCACCAGTAAGCTAGAAAGTTACATACTCCTGTTGGAAAGCTGAGAAATTATTAATATAATTGTTTAGTAAGTGGGAACAATGATAAGTTACGTTTCTTCTGCAGTCAGGTGGGTGAGGCCTCTTTAACTGAAATTTTCCCCCAGAGAATCATGACTATGGTTAACAGGGTGAGGCTTAGTAAAGACATGACCAGAATCTAAAATAGCTTTTTTCCAAACTCTTTGACCACAACCCACAGTCAAAACTACATCTTACATAGCAAGCCCATATCTGTGCACATATAGGTACTATATAACTATAGTAAAAGTTTCACAAAATAATGCTTACTTTTCCAATTTTTTTCATTTTATATGATTTTATTTCATTTTTTTAATACTGACCTTGACTCACATTCATAATCCACTGAGTCACAACCCCCCATTTAAAAGATTTGAACCACACCTTTGTCCCCAGGGTGGATGTCCAGAGTGCTGTCCTTCACCCACAGTAGACACGGTGACTCACAGCGAAAACACGTGGGAATTAAATACTGAGCAGTCCCATGCCACACAGCAATGCTCCCCAATGTGCTCCTGGAACATGTACCTCCAGATGCTCCCCTACAAAAGATTCCCCAACTCCATTTGGGAAATGCTAAATGCTATCAGCTTCTCTTGCAGATGTACAATATACATAACAGGAATACATCCAAGCCTTTGAAAGGTCCTAAAGAAATAAAATCTGTTCTTGTTTAACCCAGAATTTCCAAATTTATCTGACCACATGACATGTTTTTTTATAACAACCATCGTGCTCGATACTTTTGGGAACTACTATAAGAGAAACTACTGGGTTAAAGATGGAAATTAGCACCTAAGAGCTCAAAAGTAAGCTCATCTTCAACCATAAATGTTTTAAGAGGAGAAAAGGTTAATTGTTCTCGTTGAAATTCTGTCTAATATTAATGAAAAAATTTCACAAGAGGTTAAAACTAAAAGTTTGTTATGGTCAGAGAAGCAAGGCAATGTACCTGCTGAGTACATTCTTCATTCTCCATTCCAAGCATCAACAAATTGATTCGAGTGTCTGTCACATGCCCCCACCTAGCTCAAGGCCCCGCCTAGCTGCTGGAACTGTAGTTTTGTAATGAACCAGGATTTAAGGCTTAATTTAAAATATTTCTCTAACCTGAAAAGGTCCAGGGAATTGCATGTCTTATGATTAAAAACATGGAAAGCATCAACTTATGTTCCTCCTACACTTGTACTTGGCCACCAAAGTGGCTCTATCAAGATCTGCCTACTTTCTTATTTACCATACCACATGGTGTCACAGCCGGCCAGAGGTCCAGCCAGGCTGACCAGCAGAGGAAGGAAGTCTATCTGAGAAGGGTGGGTTTTTTTGCTGTCAGATAACATTCTCAGAATCTCCAAAGAGAGTTGTGGTATTACCACTGCCTAAAATTGTACGTATTTGTTTTCAGTATGTCTCCTGCCACAGACACGTAGGCCCCAAGAGGGCAGGGACATTGTCTCTCTCATTCACCCGTGTGTCGCCAGCACCCCCAAAGGTGCCTGGCATATATAATAGTGCATGCTTCATAAGTAGATGATGAATAAAACAAATTGCAGGGGTTGACCAGGAGGCCAGGTGAGTGGAGCGGGGAAGAAGACAGGATATTGAATCAAAGTCGACAAGAGACTGGATGCCAGGGCCCTGATCCTTCATCAACCACCACTTCTGTCTTCCTGTTTCCTGGGCTGGGTGGGAGATGCCCACTCACCCTTAAATCCTAAAAGGATTTAAGAGGCTGGGGACAGAGCCTGGGTCTTGTCCCCCATCATGGGGTCTTTCTCCCAAGAAGTACCCATTGCATGTCTGTAGAACATGTACATGTAAGCAGAGGAAGAACGCGGTCTGCCTTGCCAGGGTGGGGTTCACAGGGGAAGTCGCACGGCCGGCAGTGGCTTTCCCACCTGTGACGCTGTCCTCACCCTTTCAGGTCCCTTGTCCTCCACACATGCTGGCACTGCTGGCTGTCCTTCAGAATAAGACAGTTTGTGGTGCTTACTCCAGAGTTCAAAAACACAGCTCACAAACTGCTCAAGATCCCCACTGCGTCATTCATACACACATGCGAGGAGGAGGAGATGTGACAGTTTTGAGTGATGAACAATCTTAGTCAAATTCAGAAACATTCGTCTATTAATATACACTCTGTGAGGCATGGTGGGTGTAGGACTTTTTCCTCTGATGAAAAAAATACTTCAAAGAACCAGAAGGAGATAATCTTTCCTTTGGGGCTTTTCCCTCCACTGGCTCACTTTTCTATCTGGGCATGGCATTTTACTCACCATTTACTTACCAAAAAACCCACCTGCCCTGGACAGAGTGGGACAAGTCCACAGAGTCCCATCATTCTTAGGAGCACCTTGGCCAGTTGCAATCTCCTTTGTCTTAGGTAGCCAGATTAAGGAACAAATCTGTAATAATGACCAAAAAATAGAGAATATGGCAATTTCCGATTCATTATGAATATACTTTAACTGACTGTAGGAAGTAGGCTCTGTCCATTACCCATCCTCCAGTACAGGGTGTTAGGGTGCCATGGAAATTATGCTAGTTCTAGAAAAGTTTATCCCAAGGCAACAAAGGGCCAAGTGTACAAATAGGCTTAGGTGCGATGAACTGAAGAATTTAAGTGACCTGTGGTCATTGGCCAGGAATAGCCAGACTATTCTCAAATTTCACAGTCAAAACAGCGATAAGAAAGAAGGGAAATGTGAAAAAAAAAAGGAAATACAAATTAAATTAACTTTGAACTCACAGATGAAGAGGTTATATAAAAAGAAAGTCTTGGGAACTGATATTCCTTATGGATTCAGTAGGCAAAGAGAGGTGTGCTTGGGTCCTATGTTCTATCATAAATTATTTTTACAAGATTCTAGAAAATTGGAATGAAAGTGAACTCCAGGGGAGACTTTTACCTGTGAGTTTGTGCTTGGGGTCTGGATGCTCTTCCCAGCATTTAAATCCAAGATGTGTAAGCATCCATCCTTCATTCCTCCTCCAACAGCAAGGACTGCAGACTGCCAGGGACACCAAGCCATGGCCTTTAAAGTTCCAAATAATAACACAGGCAGGTCAGCCTCGGAGAATGTGCAGTTATCAATGTGAGGCATTCAGGTAAGCAGAAGTCTCAGGGGTTTGCACACACGGCAGCTCCCCTGGACCTCCTATCCAAAGGTCAGAGCAACTGCACCCTCCAAAATTACTTCCCAGGAGCTACAAGTCACTTTTGGAAGAGAAGGCACCTAAAAGGACTCTTCCTCAAATTATAATAACAATTGTGGATATTTTTAACATGAAAAGAGTATATAATAATATGGTTGAAAAACGATATGCAACACATTGTATGCAGCAAAAATCTGCTGCTGGACTAGCTTGCATATGTCTGTAGAATCTGGTTCTGGAATGCAGCCTTTCTGTTTGTCTCCCTGTGTCTTTAGGTTCCAAGTAGTGGTCAGTGAAAAGAGAGCTATATATGACTGCTCACAGCTCAAAAGTCTCATGCATTTCAAATCCTAATACGTTTCAGAAAATAAATTTGCCTTTTATTTATTTAGAAATTGTTATAGTTAACTCTGAAAAAACAGATTTAGTATCACACATTGATAGTAATCATTGAAATGACTAGTAACAATCACTTTAAAGAACATTTGAATGAATGCTTCAGTTATATTTATTCGTATATCTTTAATCATCCTGGTAACTACCCTCCATTTTTGTATATTCTGTATGTAAAAGCATTTTATTAAGTAGCAAACATAGTGCTTTTACTATTTAATTTTCCTATTGTTTTCATCTATTATAGTTTTCTATGTTTTAATATAATTTTTATAATTGTCATTTTTAACAATCCTATAATAGTCCATCATGTTTTTGTATGCTGATTAATTTTTGTTATCCTAATGTTGGACCCAGGTTGGTTTTTTATTTTATTTTGGTTTGGTTTGTGTTGGGTTTCTTTGGGGAGTAGATTTGTGTGTGTGCGTGTGTGTGTGTGTGTGTGTGTGTTTTATTTGTTGTTTGCTCTTATAAAGAACATTGTAATGAATATATTTTATATGTCTTTTGTTTCTGAAAAATTTTTTAAAGTAAATTCCAAGGTTCAATAGAGTTGACACAAAATTTTCCAAACAGTTATAACATTTTACAACACCAATGTCAAATAAGCATACTAATTTCATCCTGGTTAAAGGTTACTTGAAGTTAAAAATGTTATTCTGCATTTAGTGAAATTATGATACTTATAAAACAGATAAGGGTGATTTATTTTTCATTTATTTTCTTATCAGCATGAATGAATTTTTTCCTATGCATTTGTTTCTGTAGCACTTGCCCCGTGTAAATTGTTTAATATTTTTACCATTAAAATACCTATACCTTAACACTTTCCTTACAAGTTCAAGTCTATCTTTTAAAACACACACATCTGAACATATAGTAGATACTGTCCTCACCAGTCTTCAATTAACCAACTTGCTATATTTACTAAAGTTCTCTATTCCTTCTGTAAAACATATTTACTCCTACCCATAACATGCTGGGAGTCCATTATCTAGAAGGCTCCAAACTTCTGCTCCCACTAACTAAACTGTAAGTGTGTAAAGCCCACTGTGTTTTACCAAACCTGTTTATGACAGATAAACTTGTTATTATAATCGTGTGATTTAGTCAAATCACATGTAACTATTTGATTAAATCAGCTACTTTTTTGGGCTTAAAGATGAAAACTAAGTTGGAATATTCAGGAAGCTCTTCATAAAGGATAGTTCCTGAAAAGAGAATGTTAAATCAGAAGTGGCTGAATTAATTATCAAAAACTAGGAAATTTTTATGAAAATTTATAAGGACTGTGCGCTCTGATTGCTTCATAAGTGGCTTTAGGTTCTCACTCTAAAGATTCTGTAGCAGACTGTATTTTCCTAAGATAGCTGTAACACTATCTCCCATCCAACACACCTTCTAAACCTTGCCCTTCCCCTCCATCAATAGGCAGAATCTAATTCCCTTCTTTTAAAATCAAGGAGGACTTGTGACTAGCTTATAAACATTTGAACACAGCAAAAGTGACTTCTGAAATTAAGTTATAAAAGATGATGCCACGTTCACCTTGCTCTCTGCAGCACTGAACCTATTGCCCTGAGGCACAAGCTCCAACTGGCTTCAGGTAGCCCAGACAATGTTGAGAAGCTCTGGAATTACACAAAGAGGGGCGCATGACTGCCTGGTCAACAATGGGTCCAGCCCTCAGCACTTTTAGCTTCTGTCACTGTCTCACTACAACGTCATGAGAAACATTGAGCCAGAAATGCTCAGATGAGTCTTTCCCAAAGTCCTGACCCAGGGACACCACAAAAAATAAAAAAAAAATGGTGGTTGTTTCAAGCCACTAAGTTTTGGAGTCATTTGTTGCAATAGACAACCAGAACACATAATATAAGTAGAAACTTTGAACAATAAAATATGGTTATAGTTCCTACAAGAAAGACAATGAAGAACTCTAATCAGCCAACCTACATTCAAAGTCAAGTCCTTGGACCTGCATGGTAAATGAATGTACAGTCTAATGAATATGGTGAATGTTATATTTTAAGTCAAAATAAAATACTATATATGTATCACACTTTATAGTTACCTACTTCGTCTTTTTTAAATAATCATTCAGCTAAACCTCTGACTGGGCCAGAGAAAAGGACTATTTCATAAAACACAAAATTTTGCAGACAATTTCAGGAAGCTTAGAAATTTCTCTGAGTCCATGGACCCCAGTTTTACCACAGGATGGGTTTCAATATTTTTTATGTTTATTAATAACCATTTTCTTAAACATCCTACTTCCAAGTAGCTTTTGCTATAAATACGCTGTTTTGACAAAACTAAAAGTTACACCATGAGAAGAATCACACAGATGTCAACCTCTAAAGTCCTGTCCTGCTACACCAGTCAGTTGATTGGTGCTGAATGTAGAAAGGTGACTAGTGACTGCTCCTGTGACTCCCCAGGTATTAGCTGCCAGGAGGCGTGGCTTGCTCCAGCTTCCAGAGGATCTTAGTGAAGAAGACTTTCATTTAGTAATTCAATCCATTGTATTTTTAACAACAAGGCTTCTAAGAAGGCAACTTGGCCTGGCATGGTGGCTCACTCCTACAATCCCAGCACCTTGGGAGGCCAAGATGGGATAATCTCTTGAGCTCAAGAGTTCAAGATCAGCCTAGACAACATAGTGAGACCCTGTCTCTATATAAAATTTTAAAACCAGCCATGCATGGTGGTACATGCCTATAGTCCCAGCTGCTCAGGAAGCTGAGGCAGGAGGATTGCTTGAGCCCAGGAGCTCAAGGTTGCAATGACTATGATTGTGCCACTACACTCTAGTCTAGGCAACAAGGCAAGACCCTGCCTCAAAAAAATAAAAAGGAGGCAACTTGTTTTGCTTAGCTTGAATTTTTCATCTGTTTTGCATTGACTTGTTATATTTTTGTATTTTGTTTGCAGACAGACTATTTTCCATATTTTTTCCTAGTTTTTTTTCCAAGTCATCAATAATGGGAATTTGGACCTAACATCATTCTCAATGTCCTGCAGATATTAAAAGCCACAAGCCAGACACTATGTAGTAGCATCAATCACTATATAGTCCACCCTATATTATGAAACTCTATGGTAAACTTGCTTATAGTTATAAGGTAGAACCATTTGTTTTTTCTATGAATGATAAATATTCTGAGACTACATTAGGTCAAGACATACATCTGTGACACCAAGGCCTCCAAGAAGGAAAGTATGCATTTTTGTACTGGGAATAAGAATTTAAATTTCAGAGAAATAAATATTTATGTGGAGCACAGTGGAACACTGGTCTACCTCTACAGCACCCTTCCTTTCTTGGGTGTGAGCTTGTGACCCAGGCCCCTCAGTGTGCCCATCTCTCTGGCTGAAACTACCAACTAAGAGATGAGAATGTGACCAAAGGCAGATGGTGGCAATTTTCCACCAGAGTTATCAGGAAAGATGACTTCTTACCCAGCCCCCATCTAAGAGAATCTAAATCTAAAGCTGCCAAGAGCCCTTCTATCTACAAAATGAAATCCAAAGGAAGAATGGAACTAAACAGAGACAAGCAGAGTCACAAGATAAAGAGTTGGGCTCAGATGATGTTATTCAAGGCCCTACATCCGGCCAATATTTGAAACCAGCTGTATGTATGCAGGACTCCTCAGTTACATGAAAACATACGTTTATTTTCTTGCTTACACTCAAGCTTGACTTTGGTTTCAGTCATCTACAACCAAAACATCCGACGGGTAGGGAGTATGAACAAGGTTGTCTTTCAGGAGGGTGATGACAAAATTCAAAATAAATTCTGCAGGAAGAAAAATCTCAAAATGTTAGCTTAATGGTTTTCTTTTTTATGTGTGAGAGATACTCAGTGGCCTCTGAGTAAAAGGAAAGCTAGAAAGCTGTTGCATCTCTTACCTTGACTGCTGTAGAGTGGGGTATGACTTTCAGTGGCTGGCCCTGTGCACTGGCACCTGGATCGTGGGCCCACACTGTCAGCAGTCCGTCACTGCAGCCACTGGAAAGCAGCCTGCCATCTGGTGACCACTTCAGAGAACACACAGCTTGCTTGTGGCAAAGTGTTCCAACACGATGCTGGGCAACCCGAACATCATGATGATAGACACGCCCTAGCCTTGACCCACTGCAGGGGAGGCAAAAAGGCAGGTTTAGAGGACAGAAAAATGCCACATAAGCATTCAAAAACTTGGAGGGAAGCATACTTCAAAGTAAAACTACTGAAAGACCCCTTAGGACTGATAAAAAACACAGGTGGAAATTCCTTAGTTTAATAAGGATGGGGGGAGTAGTCTGCCCAGGTGATTCTTTTCAAAAGTGAATAGATTTTTTTTTAGCAGAGTTTCAAATCTGGAATTGAAAAAGTATCCTTTGATAGATGTTTCTAATGGCTTTAATATGATGCCATGGAAAAGATGAATGTAGATGATTGCCAGATTTTCCCAGGTAGTAGTTTATATCCTAGACTTTTCTGCAACTCAGACTATTTCAGATTATCTTAGTGAAATGGTTTTAGTATATATTTATAGTAAAATGTTAGACATAGAAATTTATTATTTCATTTTTCTAACAAGTAGATTCCTATGAATCTATAGATCCACTCTTAGTTTAGCTAATATTACTAATATGTAAAAGAAATTTAAAGCTAACTGAATGTCAGAGCAAACTGCAATATGACTCAAAATCAGTGGATTACGTCTCTACTCATTGTCAGTGACTTGGATCCAAACAATGATAAAGATCATATCTCGTTTTCAAAAATAACGAAGTCTTTCTAAACTAATTTAATTTTCTCTAAGGAGTACATAAATAACATCCTACAATTATTCATAAAATTTCTCTAAGGCCGGTGTTATATTTTTAAAAACTATTCAGTAACACCGAATAGCATTCTGATTAACAACATGGGCTTTGGAGCCAGACCACCTGGGCTCAAACCCTGACTCTGTCCCTTGCTAGCCACATGACCTCAGGCTAGGATCTCAGTTTACTCATCTGAGAGAAAAAAACTGAGGGTAAGAAACCATCTTATAGTGTGATTACAGGAATTAAAACACAATTACGAACATAAAGAATATAGCACAGTGCCTGAAGTCCAAGAATGTTAGCTGCTATTATCATAAGAAAGGATCTGTTCATATTCCTCATGGATAGTGAAACTAAATTTTAACAGTGAGGATTATAAAAGGAACTTGAGTACAAAATTGACTACAATAACTAAGCTGTTCCAAGTTTGGCCTATAATCACAGGGCATTAAAGTCTCAAATTTACATTTGAACTACTTAAAGAAATTGTGAAAGGCCTTGGAATTGGTCTAATTTGAATCTACCTTAAGAACTACAGTACAGGCCGGGCGCTGTGGCTCACGCCTGTAATCCTAGCTCTTGGGAGGCCGAGGCGGGCGGATTGCTCAAGGTCAGGAGTTCAAAACCAGCCTGAGCAAGAGCGAGACCCCGTCTCTACTATAAATAGAAAGAAATTAATTGGCCAACTGATATATATATAAAAAATTAGCCGGGCATGGTGGCGCATGCCTGTAATCCCAGCTACTCGGGAGGCTGAGGCAGAAGGATCACTCAAGCCCAGGAGTTTGAGGTTGCTGTGAGCTAGGCTGACGCCACGGCACTCACTCTAGCCTGGGCAACAAAGTGAGACTCTGTCTCAAAAAAAAAAAAAAAAAAAAAAAGAACTACAGTACAAAAATAAATGGCTATTATTAAAAAGCAATATATATCTAGACCAATTGCCTAAGATCATAGGATCAAGTGACTTAGCTTTTCTGGTTAAAAAGCAGTTAAACTAAATTGCTAGTTCTCAAAGTGAACCATTATTGGCATCACTTGGGAAATTAGAAATGCAAATTATCAGTCCCCCCACTCCCCAAAACCTAATGAATCAGAAATTCCTGAAGTGAGGCCAGCAATCTGTGTTTTTTGGAGCCCACCAGGTGATTCTGCTGCATGTTCAAGTTTGAGAACCACTGAACAGGATAATCTATGAGGTTCCTTCTAGCTCTAACCTCTGTTGGTCTGTAAATTGGAAACATGCCCCAGAAAGCCTAACATATTCCATAGTATTAACACTAATAGCAATAAATACTTGACTTCAGCAAAATATTCCTTTAGCATGTGTTGCTTGGTACAGAGAAACCTTTCCCTTGAAGAGAATTTCACATTTTATCTGCGCAATTTAGTGACTCCTGTGCTGAAGGCACACAGCCACCGTGTACGTGTGGCCGACAGAACCAGACAATCCGAACGAACACTGAGGGGCAGGATCATAACTGACACTAAATCTAATGTCTTGTTTTGTTTTATTTTGTTTGGTTTGGGTTTTAAATATTATAGTTCTGTTCATTCGGGCCCCATAACCAATTGGTGATACAAACAGCATTGTCTCCAGTAAGATGCTTCTTACCTGCTGAGGATACAGTGATTCCAGCTCAGAGCCCCAACTACTGACAAATGACCAAGCATAGTTCTCAGCCGCTTTTTAGTTACCACATCCCATAACTGGAAAAAAGAAGAAGCAGAGTAGTATTAACGTTTTCACAGCACACTGTCTTCTCAAAGGCCTGACAGTCAAGTATTGTTGATACTGCCAGTTTTTGCAGCAAGTGAAAACTCAGCACCTTTAACCAGCAGTTCTCAGGGTATTAGGATCCCCTGGGGAGTTTGTAAAACAGACGCTAGTGCGCATACCAGTGATGATGACGTGTTTGGTGGTGTAGAGCCTGGGGATACGGCATTTGTTTTAAAGCTCCCCAGGTAAATTTAACGTGCAGCCAAGGGTTGAGAATCATTACCACACTTCTAGCTCCTTCTAAATTGTGGGAATTCCAAACCTGGAAGTCCACCTATAGTTAATCAATAAATATATTAACAAAATGTGGGTGTCTGGACAATTCCTAAAGAAGTCCCACTTACTGCTAAGAGAGACCCCTTTCCTGCAGGGACAGATGATATTCTGACCCATATAAGAAATGACTTTGATGTAAGAAGAAATCATGACATGACCTTACAGCATCCAATGTCGTTGCTGAGAGGAGAAAGTAGTGAGAGCCTCCTGTGTCCCTCCTAAATCATATAGCACATGGGCAATATTGTTGGCAAGTATTATTGCCAACAATAATAATTACAATGTATGATAAATTAGATAGAGTGATGGAAACTTGGTAAGTCCCCATCTCAGAAAGCCTATCAGGAAAAAAAAAAACTCACTCATTTTATAACTCTATTACTAATCATGGCGTCAGATGAGAAAGGAGAATTAGAAAGGTATCTTTCTCTCTTTAAAGTCCCCAAATTGGAGATTCTACAAGCCCAACTTCAGTTTGAGAGAAAAGATTTTTTAAAAAAATAAATAAAGGAAAGACCGTGGGGGAAACAAAGAAGAACATCTTTAAGTCCTCATTAAGCACCATTCAGAAAAAAACAGAATGGTATCTCTTCTCACTTCCCATAGCTTCAAGTGCCACACCTAATCTATTAATAGTTTCTCTGCTTTTTTATTAACCTGTTATTAAATATGGATTCTAGTTTATCTAATAATTGCACAGAGAACATAATAAAAAAATTGTCCCATACTTGCACTTCTCCTTCGCTGGTGCCAACTGCCAGGCAAGTTCCCTCTCTTATCCAGGACACAGAAGATACATAATTACAAGCGAGACTTAAGTCTATGATTTCAGTCTTGTGGTTCTCTCCATTCCAGATGGATACAGCAGATCCAAGGGCTATAGCAACAAGATTCTGAAAGCTCCAGTCTAGGATATTCAGATCTGTAGGAAAAGCTCTTCAAGTTAGGGTGGTTAGACAGCCAGATAAAAACATTTTCAAATAAGCAACTTTATTTATAGATAGAAGAGAAATATTAATACCTTCCCTATGGTCAGTTGGAAAACAGACACGTGAATGCAAGCAGATCACTTGAAGTTCAAAAATGAAAAGTGGAATAGAATCTAGTGTCAAGATTCACATCTAATAAGCAATAATGCTTATCATTATGCTCAATATATATGAGCATATCAATAATTATGCTCAAATATAGTTATTTAGAGGCATTTGAAGAACTTGGCAGATTAATCTATCATCATTAGTACACATGGACTTCATCTAACAAATCACTAAAAATCAAAAGCATTGTAATCCTTATGGAGACACCCTTGGATCCATATCTACAATATACCACCATCATATCTAACCAAAGCACTACCCAACAAGAACATATCTAGAGAGGTAGTGGCTCACTTCTAAATGATACCTAGACGTTCTCAGCAATATTCTCTAGCTTCTACTAATAAGATAATAAGAATTCTTTGACAGCTACACAAAACCATGTTTGTATGATCACTTATTAAACTATACCCTCTTTTTTTTTTTTTTAGAGATCGGGTCTTACTCTGTCACCCAGGCTAGAGTACAGTGGTGTGACCATAGCTCACTGTAATCTGGAACTCCTGGGCTTAAGCAATCCTCCTGCCTCGGCCCCCCAGGTAGCTGGGACTACAGGCATGCACCACCATGACTGATTTACTTTTTTCTTTTTAGAGATGGGGTCTCACTATGTTACCCAGGGTGGTCTCACACTCCTGACCTCAAGCCACCTTGTTCTCCCAAAGTGCGAGGATTACAATCATGAGCCGCCATGCCTGGCCCACTACCTTATCAGACAGAAACTCCCATCCTGACTTACACATATCAACACAAAACTATGAAGCACAACAGTTCCACTACAGTGGTTTAAGCCCCTACAATGTATCCTTCCCACTGATAACAACTATAAACTTGGACAAAATATAAAAAACAAACACCTGAGGACCCTGAACAGTAAACAAAAGCAGATAAACTCAGCAAAAGAGTCAAAACTTAGAGAAGCAACCTCCACAAGGATGAGTTCCCCCTTTTTTTCTCACATGTCCTGAGCGCAAGCCCCAGTCATAGAGTAGCACCAGCAGCTAAGCCTGTGACTGAGAGACCACTGTCTTCCTGGTCAGTGGAACCAGGGAAAGGAGGCTGAGGTGGCCAAAGTGTGGGGAGAAAGTTCTGGAAAGGAGAGAGTCACAGAAAGGAATCCTCTGATTAGGAGTATATGAATCCACACAAAGAAGATTCAAATTAACTTAGCAAAGGCTTTAAGAACTGAACTGAGATTTGAAACGTCCATACATGTCTCAGCCTAGACTCTATCCACATATGTGAGGGACAGACCAAAACCAGCATGATCTAAGATTTGAAACAGCACCCAGAGATGGCAAGCCAAACTTCTGATATGAACCTCACTAGAACAGAAACATCAGTATTCTCTTCAGGACCCAGTGAATACAACATAACATCTACAATGTCCAGGACACAATTCAAAATTACTGAACAGATGGAAAGGTAAAACATAATGAATAGATGAAAACCCCAAAATGACCTAGGTATAGAAATTATCAGACTTTAAAGCAGCTACTATATTTTCTATGAGGTAAAGAAAAACACACTTGAAATGAACAAAAAGATATGACACTTCAGCAAAGAAACAAAAAAACAAACTGTTTTCTATATAAAGAAAATAGAAACCATAAGACAAAACTCTAAAATAGAAATAGAAGCTATAAAAACCATGAAATGGAAACTTCAAAACAGAAAAATAAAATATCTGAAAAATTATTTGGATGGGTTCAATACCAGAATGAAAGTAAAAGAGGAAAGCGTTAGTGAACTGGAATATAAGATCAACAGAAATTATCCAATCTGAAGAACATGAAGGAAAAACATTTTGTAAACATGAATGGACACTCAAGGACTTGTGAAATAATATCCAAGACCTAATATATATGTAATTGGAGTTAGGTCTTAAAAGCAGAAGACAAGATTTCAAAGGACCATGTAGTTCTCACCAGAAACTATGTAGGCCAGAGTCAATGGAACATCTTTAAATTGCTTAAAGAAAAATCTTCCCAAGAATTCTATATCCATAAAAAATATTATGAAATAGAAGATGAAAAATCTAAGAGAAGTCTGCCGACAGATCTGATCTGCAAGAAATGAAAAAGGCATCTCTTCAGGCTAAAGGGAAATAACATGAGAGGGAAACTTAGATCTTCAGGAATGAAGAAGAACATTGGAATTGGTAAATACTTGGGAAAATATAAAAGACCATGTTTCCCTCTTAAGCTATTTTAAATACTTTTTAAATTTGACTTCTGAAAGTAAAATTTATAATGATGGTGGGGTTTTCAATGTATGTAGATTGATGCAAAACGCATGACAACTATAGTAACCTACAAAACAGTTGGGAGACCCATGTGATTGCAGATCTTTGCATATTGTTTGAAGTGTACAACAGTAACCCTAAGTAGACCGAGAAAGTTTAGATTACATTGTAAGCCCTAGAGCAATGACTGAAAACACAATACAAAGAGATATAGCCAAAAACCAAGAGATCAATTAAAATAGAAGAAGAAAAATGATGTCCAATGAATGAGCCTTGGGTACTCCAACATTTAGAAGGCAGGAGATGTTAAGGAACAGAAACCAGCAAAAAAAGACCAAGAAAGTGTGAGCATAAAATTAGGAGGTAAACGAAGAGAGTGGGACAGCAAGAAGGAGGGATTGATCATCTGTCTCAAATATGGTTAACAGGGTTAAGTAAACAAGATCTATTAATAACTGTTGGATTTAATAATGAGGAGTTCTTTGGTGAGGTTCGGAATAGCAGTTTCAATGGAGGATAGTGGAGTGGAATTTAAAGCCCACTAGAGTGGCTTTGAAACAATGTGGGGAGAGAAATAGGAAATTTTGAGTATAAACATCTTTTGACAAGTTTTGCTGTCACTGGGAGGAGACACGAGGAGCTGCAGTTTAAAGGAAAAATGGGAACAAGCGGGGTTTTTTTAATATGGGTTTTGTGTGTTTTAAAGATTCCTTGAAAATATGTCATCCTTATTTGGCCATAAGAATAAATTCCTTTGGAGAAGGAGCTGTGTGAATAGGTAGATAGAGAACTGTTCCCTTTAGTGGTTTTGCTTTTTCCTGCTTATTCCTCTGATGTTCCACAGAGCCCAGGCCCCTTCCCTCTGTTCCTCTCCCCCTCACCCAGAGAGCTCACACTGGCTCCTGGCTTCGCCTATAATCATCTAACCTACACACTAGTCCACCCTCTCTTTCAACTACCAACTTCATTTCTAATGATCTGCAAAACATATTCTGTGTCTCATTGTCTCCTTTAATTTAATATTCCAAGAATAGTCTTCCCTCCCCAAACCACCTACTCTGTCAACCTGTCTTCCCAGTGACACCACCCTTCTCCTGCTTCAAAAACTTGGAATAATCTTAAATTCATTTCTCATTCCATATATTTTTCTTTATGGAGGGAAAATAAGCCCTTACTCTTAGAAAACTTGTTCCTACTAAATGCATTCTATGTACTCTGCCATGAATTTTCCTTTTATGTTTCTCTTAGTCAGCAACTCCCAGGACAAATATAAATTTCTAAATTTGAATGTCTCCATAATCTGTATCCACCTATTTCTTTACCAGTCTCCAATGTATCCTCTTCATTGCCATTAATTATCATTAATTACCAACATCCTGCCTTATTCATGCTGTTAACATATCAAAAATGGTCTTTCTTCTCCTGCCCACCCTCCCAAGTCCTACCAATCTTTCAAGAACCAGCTGAAGTCTGAATATCTCCATAAGTCTTTCTGGACAACCCCAGAGTTCACGGAGCCCCCTGTAGTCTTTATAGCTCCTTATATCCCATAATCCATTATTTATACTCTACATTGACATATTGGTATTGGTTCCATGTGGGTTAGTCCTGTTTTCCAAACTAGATTACAAGTTAGGCATATAATAAGCCAACCCAATGTGGTTGTTTGATTAGATTTACCCATGTTTAAAATGTATATATAAGGACCTGGCATGGTGGCTCAGGCCTGTAATCCTAGCACTCTGGGAGGCAGAGGCAGGCAGATCACTCAAGGTCAGGAGTTCAAAACCAGCCTGAGCAAGACCCCATCTCTACCAAAAATAGAAAGAAATTAATTGACCAACTAAAAATATATATACAAAAAATTAGCCGGGCATGGTGGCACATGCTTGTAGTCCCAGCTACTTGGGAGACTGAGGCAGTAGGATCGCTTGAGCCCAGGAGATTGAGGTTGCTTTGAACTAGGCTGATGCCACGGCACTCACTCTAGCCTGGGCAACAAAGTGAGACTGTCTCAATCAATCAATCAATCAATAAAGTATATATAAGAATAGGCCACTGATAGTATAGTTCATTCTAATACAGTAACACAAAATGTATATTTCTCATGCCCTACCAACATTAACAATACTCATTCCTGAACATGGAAGTTGCACAAGGAAAAACCAACTACATTAATTGTATTTGTGTGGTATACCACCTGGACATGAGGCACAAAGACTATCTGGTTCTTCCATAATCAAATTTCAAGTTTATGCCAGAGCACAGGATGTATTTTGTCATTTCAAATTTTTGATTTGCAATCTAAATGATAACTCACAGTAGTCATTTTGAAGACCAGTAAGATGAATCTTCATCTCTGGTGAGATCATGGAAGACTTTACATCACTGAACCTTTTAAGATAGAAGGATCCATCTCTGACTCCATCTCTGCAGCCTGCAAGATACAAACACTTCTACACATCTCTATGATCCTGAAAATATAATACTTATCCTTATGGTACTAAGAAATAACATTAATTGACAAAGATTAATTATGTGGGGGAAAAAGTGGTCATCATGATACAACTGTAGTACCAAGAGAAAGAGAAGAAAGGCAATGAAGAACACTCCAGTATTAATTTTTAAAAGAATATTAAAAACTTATTCAAAGAAATTTCTAATAAAAAGCACATGAATGCCAGACCTAAATGTAGATGACAGATCTTGTGGGGAGCACACAGAGATACTACATGATGCTTTGAATGTTTATTCTCTCAATGACATTTTGAAAACCAAAGTAAATTTTGTATATCCATATGTCTATCACATCCCCACTCACCTAGTATACCTAAGTCCTACTCTGAGTCTTTGTCAATAAGTATTTATTGATATATTGTTTTTCAGCTATTTCCTTCATTATTTCTGTACCAGAGCGCATAGAGTTACTACTTTTGGCTAATTTTACCCATAATTATCTGAGGCCAGGATTTTATGTTTTGCTAAAATTTAAGTTCTCATCAAAAGACTCCACTAAGTTCAAACCACAGGCTGCTGTCTTTTCATCTCCAACCACTCGGTTTGTGATCAAACTGAGAATGATATAATCAGTAGAAACCAAGACCACTCAGGTGACTTGTGGTGTCTATGACCAGATGGCTTCTAATAAAAGCATGAGAGCTTCACAATGCTGTACCAAAAAAAAACAAGAAACCAAATTGTTACTCATAAATTCCTGCCTCAGTGTTAGCTGTGAAAACCTGCAGTTATGGGAAGAACTGCAAGGTTACTAGATAAACTCAGGCCTGTTAATAAATAATCACTAAAGGTTAATAAAATTGATATCCAAAGAATCAACAAAAAAATTCCTGAAACTAATGAGCAATTATATAATAGTAAGGTTGCAGGATACAAGCTTAATATACAAAAGTCAGTTGCATTCTTATATTCCAGCAATGCACAATTAGAATTTCAAATTAAAAACAAAATACCATTTACATTAGAACCTCAAAAAATGAATTACTTAGGTATAAGTCTCACAAAATATGTACAAAATCTACATGAGGAAAACTAAAAACTCTGATGAAAGAAATCAAAGATCTACATAAATAGAGAGATATTCCATGTATAAACATAAGAAAACTCAATATTATTAAGATGTCAGTTCTTCCCAACTTCATCTGTAGATTCAATGCAATCTCAGTCGAAATCCTAGCAAATTATTTTGTTGATATTGACAAAATAATTTTGATTTTTTTGTTAATATCAACAAAAAATTATTTTGATAATTTTGTTGATTCTAAAAGTTATTTGGAGATGCAAAAGACCCACAATAGCCAACACAGTTAGTGAAGAAGGATAAAGTGAAAGGCCTGATACTACCCAACACCAAGACTTAGTATAAGGCTATAGTAATCAAGACATACACATTAAAAATGAGCCAAAGATCTGGACACTTCACCAAAGAAAACACACAGATGGTCTACAAAGCATATAGAAAACATGCTCAATATGGTGTGTCATTGGGGAATTGCAGGGAGGTTAAAATAATTAGATACTTCTGCACTGCAAATTGCTGTCAAAAAAAAAAAAGGCTAAAAAATAAAAGAGAGAGATACCACTACACACCTGCTAGAATGGCCCAAATCCAAAAACACTGACAACACCAAGTGCTGGTGAAGATGTGGAGCAACAGGAACTTTCATTCATTGCTGGTGAGAATGCAAAATGATACAGACTTGGGAAAGACTTTGCCATTTTCTTAAAAAACTAAACATACTTTTCCCATGTCATCTAGCAATCACACTCTTTGGTATTTACTCAAATGAGCTAAAAACTTAATGTCCATACAAAAAATCCTACACACACATTTACAGCAGCTTTATTCATGATTGTCAAAACCTGGAAGCAACCAAGATGTCCTTCAGTAGGTGAATGGATAGATATTAACTATTGTATGTCCAGACAATGGAATAGTATTCAGTGCTAAGAAGAAATGAGTTATCAAGCCATGAAAAGACATGGAGAAACCTTATATGCATGTTACTAAGTAAAAGAAACCAATCTGGAAAAGCTACGTACTATATGATTCCAACTATATGACATTCTGGAAAAGGAAAAATTATAGATACAGCAGATACATTAAAAAGGTTGCTAAGAGGCAGGGATGGAAGGATGTATAGGCAGAGTAGAGAGAATTTTTAGGGCAATGAAGCTATTAATATTCTGTGTGATATTGTAATAGTGATAATGTCAAAACCTATAGAATATACAACAAGAATGAACTCCAGTGTAAACTATGAATTTGGGGGGATAATGATGTATCAGTGCAGATTTATTGATTGTAACAAATGTACCACTCTGGTGTAGGATGTTGATAGTGGGGAACTCTGTGCTTTCTGCCTAATTTTGCTACAAGCCTAACACAGCTCTAAGAAATAAAGTGTATATATACTTTATACATATAATAAAGTATAATTTTTATATATATTATCTCCTAGGATATCAGAAAAATATAGGTACATTCTCTCTGGCTTCATAGATTATATGTTTTTTTTTATTTTAAGTCAAATATCAGTATCTTACAAAACAAAAACCTATTGCTAGTTAGACCAAAAGAAGATGAGAAAGCTGAGGGAAGACATGTCCTCAAACATTTTATTTTGCTTTTAAGAAAATATCATTCTAAGGGAGAATGAAGTTCACTCTCTCATCCCAACCATACCTTTCCAAACTCCCAAAAGAACATTTAGAAGGCCTGAAACTTTGTGCCATTTCTATGCATCTAACTCTATTTTTTTCCCTTTTTACTTCTGGGAAACAGAGGCTTGAAAAACAAACATGCACAAAATTCTAGAAGGTAAATTTATTATCTATTTATTATCTACATAATTTTTAAAGAAAATTTCTAAAAAAAATTTAATGAAAAATTAAGACAGGACATAAAAACAAAGTTTACTTTAGCATTGAGTATATCTCTCTTCTTATTCACATTTATATTTGAGACTATTTCAAAGAACCCCGCGGATTTGCTTACCAGAACTTATCCCTGAGGGAAATTTAACAGCCAAGTTTCCCTGACATTCATGAAATGAACCACTAGTTCTCTCAACAAGTTTCCTACATAGAACTCAGGATCCCAATCACTTCTTTTCTAACCATGATAACAATCTCATGAATAACACAAAGATTTCCAAAAGGGAAAGAGAAAGCAGGAAGGAGAACACATGGGGCTTTAGGTAAAAAGATTTGGGGAGCTCTAAATGCTGCCTGGAATGAGGACCTTCTGCAAACAGCTACAGGCATTACTTCCCCACTGCATGGTTGCAGGGCTGCCGGATACACTCACCACACCACCATCCAAACTATCCTGCCAGCTTTGGGCCCCATAGGTACACTTGAAAGTCACAAGGAGATGCCTTCTATGAGGTTTCAGAGTTTTCTCAACTATGGATAAATCATGAAGAAAAACTTTATACACACAGCACCTGGACAAAATTTGTCCCAGTGATTCACTGACGATCAGTTACGTGGCTTACATGGGATCCATTTCGTACTAGAGTTCCCGTAAAAGAAACAATAACAAAGCCCTGTATAAAATATTCCAAGGCCCAATTAGTCTCTGCCTCCAACATCCTCTCCTTCAAATCTGTCCTCAATGCCGCCATTGAAGATCTATCCAAAGCAGACGTAACAGACTTGCAAACCAGGTCAGAGGAGTGGCCACATATGTTTATTTTCTGCCTCCTATTTTCACCCTTACTGAGTGACAGCAAATTACTTTTTTCTGTGAAGACAGAAAAACAAAGTTTACAGGAGTGAATATAGTAGCAGGCAAGAGAGTAAAACAATTTTCTGGAAAATGAATAAAGTAGATTGACAACTGACCAAGAAGAGCTTAAGAAACTACCTGTCAAGTGCCTGCAGAGGAAGACAGTGATGAGAAGCAAGCTGATTTGTCTTGCAAAACCCTGAGGGTCAGGCCTCAGAGTCACTGAGGAAGTGGAGAGTGAGGTGGGGTGGCTGAAAGACTGGCAGGTTCCCACAGGTACACACATCTTGCAAACAGGTAAATACGCACACATACATGCCCATGGCAAAAGAGACAAGGTGTTTATTAATAATAAATAATAAAATAAATAAATAAAAAGGGACAGTCCCTTAAGAGCACTAGCTACTATGGAGATGGAGATGTATGGGGCTAAAAACAGATTTTAAGTAAAAATCTTTATACCAAATTTACTCTAGTACTCTTTAACCTAGTAAAGGAGGAATAAGCTCTTTACCCTAGTACTATTTCTAAAACACCACACATTTTAAGAAAGCAAATGAGGATTGGGAGGAAGAGGAAAGCAAAGCAAAGAAAGACAATGCAGGGAGCACAGGAATACTTCCAAAAACCTACAAAATAATAATTATCAGAGAACTGAGAAGATAGTATATTCCTGAAGCATTAATGGGATGCTAGGAGGGAGGGAACAGAGTAAAGAAATTCCTCTTTAAAAATTACTAGGATAGCCAAAACAAAAGGTTTAATAGCAAAGTTGGTGGACAAACTTGAAGTAATTGCCTAGAAGGCAGAAAAAAACAATGAGATGAAAAATAGATCAGAAAAGACAAGAAAACTGGAGCATCAGTCCAGAAGCACTAACACAATACTTTCAGAAAGAAATAAAAAGAGCAGTGAAGAAATTATTAATATAAAAGAACAATTCAAGAAACTTTCTAAAAACTCTACAACATGGGTCTCCAAGATTGAAAAGGTCCACCAATGGACTTTTCAATTAAAATGAGTTTAAAAAAAAAAAAAAACTGCCAAGCTTTATCATCATGAAATTTTAGAACACTGATGATAAGAGACTTTTCTAAGAGCATCCAGAAAGAAAACACAAAGTATAGGAAGTAAAAATAGTGTATGATTTCTCAGCAGTAGTGGATTTTAGAAAACAATAAAGTAATACCTTTAAAATTCTGAGTGAAACTAGAATTCATAGCTAGCCAAACTATCAATCAAGTGTAAGAGTAGAATAAGGATATTTTCAAACCAGCAAACCCAGAAAGAGTACACAGCTACCAGGAAATGGTGGCTCTAATATTGGGGAAGAGAAGTCCCAGGATTACAACTATGCAACTGGCCAAGAGAGCAGCCTATTGGGCAGGCTCTGGGAAGGGAGGTCACCACAGGAAAGAAGGAACTGGAGTGAGCAAGAAAATGTTACTGATAGTTGTAGAACAAAACATTGGAACATTTAGAGGAAATGTTAATGGTTTCATAGATAACTATTATAGTAAATGAAAAAATAAGCAACTTTTAATTCTCGGAAAAACATTTCAATAGAAAACACACATAATTATAGCACACTACTCAGCTTGCTAGGGAATAATGGTTGTATAGTAATATGATATAAACACTGAATGCTAATTTTACTTTCTTGAAGTGTGATAGAAGAATGTCAAAAAAAACTGAAGAAACTGAATGAGGCAGGAAGAGAACTAAGTTTTTATCTACTGTGCTAGAAAGTCATAAGAAAGTCTAAAATTATAAGAAATAGCAGTTTACCAATATTACTTAGAAAATAGATGTAAATACCAAGAATAATAGCTGGAAGAGCTAAGGGTGGTTGCCTCTAGGAAATGGGACTTGAGAATGGTGTTGGTTAAGGCAGAGGATTTTAAGAATTTTCAGAATTTTATAATTATGTTGATTTAGTCTTGTAAATATTAAAAATAATATATTTTAAGATGAGGAAGAAATTAAGGAGGCAGAGAGAGAGAAGAGGGTAGGAAAGAAGGACAAAGTCTTTGCCCCATACCTTTCCAAACACACTGGGATTGTGCACAAAGCTGCATTTTTCCATTAAGCTGCTGAACCACCTTCTGGGTTGCAAATAGCTGGTTTCGGCATTTCTGAAAACAAATATACATAAAGAGAATACTTCCTTAGAAACATATATGTACATCTCAGGCATGATGCATGATAGAGTTAGAACTGATAATTCACTGATGTTCAAAGACTCCACATTTTTCAATCAAATGCCACAATAATTGCTAGTATTTATTAACTAACCACTGTGTAAGGAACAGTACTGAGCATTTTATACATATTGTTTCTAATCTCTTCAACAGCTTCATAGAGCAGATATTGCTCAGCTAGAATAAAATCCTTTTTTATTCCTCTAGCCTAAATATTCATGTAGCTGGCAAACCATACGCCAGTGGTATCACTAAAGGCTGCAAAAACTGAAATGTCAGGATATTTCTAGTACTCTCTAAAATAAAAAGATCTCCCCAAAACAATAAAGTCAAACATTAGTTGGACAACACTTTACAAGAAAGATTTCCTTCAAGGAGTGATTCTCAACACTTAACCCAGAGATAGTCTCTCACTGAGATCTCTTACTGAGATCTTCTCTGGGCCTCAATTTTCCTCATCCATAATAAGTTTAGATTGGACAAACCATCTTAAAGGTCCTTTTCTATTACCAGCTTTTCTCATTAGAAATGGGGATATCAGCTACTCAGAAGGCTGAGGTAAGAGGATCTCTTGAGCCCAGGAGTTTGAGGTTGCAGTGAGCTATTATGATGCCACCGTACTCAAGCCAGGGCAATAGAGTAAAATGCTGTCTCAAAAAAAAAAAGAGAGAGAGAAAAGAAATGGGGGGACATCAGGTCACAGAGATCTTAAGTAAATTGACTAAATTTCCATGACCACAAAAATCTGAGTGATATTTCTTTGGGCCAATATATAAAGGGCACTTCTGGCGTGGTGGCTCACATCTGTAATCCCAGCACTTTGGGAGGCTAAGGTGGGAGCGTTACTTGAGGCCAAGAGTTCAAGACCAGCCTGGGCAACATGGAAAGACCCCATCTCTACAAAAAATTTAAAATTTAGCTGGGCATTGTGGCACACCCTTGTAATCCCAGCTACTCAGGAAGCTGGGATTCCTGAGTGGGAGGATCACTTGATCCCAGGAGCTGCAGGTTACAGTGAGTTATGATGATGCCACTGCACTCTAGCCAGGGTGACAGAGTGAGACACTGTCTCTAAAAATTTTTTACAAAAAAAGCGCTTCTGACATTCTTACATTCAATTTCGATCAAAAACAGCTAGGAAAATTAGTAATAAGTGGAAAGAAAAGTACTTATTGGAATTTCTAAAAACATAGTGATGAATAGTTAAGCCACAGAAGATTCTTTTTTTCCTCTTTCACAACAATATATTTGTTTCCTTTTTTTCTATTTTTAGAGATGAGGTCTCACTATGTGGCCCAGGCTGGTCTCGAACTCCTGGCCTCAAGCAATCCTTTCACCTTGCTGGGATTACAGGTGTGAGCCAGCACCCGTCTCTCACAATAATATATTTAATCTCACATGCATGACAATCACTGAATCACCATAGTTTAGACAGAGTCTCTCTGACAGGCATCATTTTGACTTTCTGGTTTTCTTCCTCGACATCATGACACATAACAGGCATTGCCAGTCAATGAATCACGGGTTTTAGGTATTCAGGCAGAACAATTAACCATAAAGCAGGGTTTCCTAATCTCAGCACAATTGGCATTTGGAGCGGCAGATAATTCATTGTTGCATGGGCTATTCTGTGCGTTTTAGTGTGTTTAGCAGTGTCACTGGCCTTTAGCCACTAGATGCCTTCCCCCTGGGTTGTCACAATCAAAAACATCTTTAGACATTGCCAAAGCCCCCCCCTCCAGGAGAGTCACCCCCCCAACCCCCGGTTGAGAGCCACTGGTATAATTCCTAGAATGACCTGCTGGCCAGGAGCTCAATGAACTCTTCACAAACTCCCTTCTTCAGAATCTCATAGTTAGCACAAAACTGACCGCAGCACGGTCCAGCACACACCTCAGCTCCATAAACCCAGGGTGCTCTTTCCTAGGCAAGATCTACTTATTACTTTAATTAGCAACTGAGCATACAGTTCACTGACTATGAATTCTGACAGTCTCCATGCTACCCTCATTGCAGACACACCTTCCAGATGGTCAGGAAAACCACATGAAGTCCACACAGGTTTACGGTAAAGACCTCACTTTGTATCTTTACCACTCTTGAGTCATGACATCAAACACTGTGCATTGAACAGTAAAAACAGTTTCCATTATCCTCTGCCCAGGTTCTTCAGTGATCCTGCGGTTGTGTTCTAGCTGATATAACTATTGCTATAAGAGGTATCTTGCCAACATCATCATGAGCCCACAAACAGAGCAACCAACCTTGCTGCCACCAGTCACCAGAAAGGACAAGGGGCAGGGCAGTAAGAACTCCAATCAGCAGTAGAGGGTGGAAAGGATAGGGGTGTTAATAACCTGGCCTGGGCATGAGACCACCAGCACCCCCTCATTATTTCATTAGAACTCCCTGGCCATTCCCCACTCCCCAAACCCATACCCAACAATAAAGCACCCAACAAAAGATCTGCTCTAAAATATTTGTTTCCAATTGCATATGAGTTTAAATATTTATATTCACAATATTTTATTGTTCCTCTGCAAAATATACATGCCAAATACAGAAGAGGTACACACTAAATAAGTAGTTTTGCCTAAATTGAGAATATATGACTTTTCTAGTTAAAAGCTTTTAAAATGAAACACTCATTCCTTCAAGGGCTCTTTATTGGATCTGATGAACACATGCTATTGATGTTTAAAGTGCCCAAAAGATTTATGTTGGACTCTTAGGATCTTAAAATTGTAATGAATAAGAACTACCTAAAAGAAGTAAATGTACTTAATCAAGAAACAAATGAACAGGAACAAAGGCCATCTAAGGATACCCTAATCACAAAAAAATTTTAAAAAAGAGATAAAAGAATTTAAAATTAAAAAAAGAGAACAAAGGCTTAAGAGAAATATTTAAAAGGTCATCCTATAGAGAAAGAATTTAACTTATCCTGAGACTCCAAAGGGGAAACCACATCACCAAATAGCTGGAAATGACTGTAGCAAGAGATCCTTGAGGTTAGAGTTATCATAGTAAGCAGAATTTTATTATATTTTTAATCTTTGCCTTTTTCATGGTTATTCTCTTTTCACTTTTTTGATTGGTTCTAACTCAACACTTTCTCATATATTAGGGGGGATTTTTTCTATCTTATACAAAGTGATTCTATTTGTGCCCTTCACTCATTTTTTCTAAGTAATCCATGACTTTTTACTGATTTGTAAGAGTAGCAAAGCAGCTCTTCCCTCACATCTGGGACTTAAGTTGTCTGAGCTTCTTAAGACATGGTATCTTCAGTTTTTTCTCTCTACTTACCTGGCCTTTTGAGGCAACATTTTCCTTCCAGCCTCTATCCATTGCATCAGTTGCCTTGCAGAAATGGAGAACAGAGTTATTTGTTTCAGAACTTCCTTTGATGGGGGTCTTCAGTAGTTCTTTGAAGGACCCTACAAGAAAGACATTTAGCTTTGAATTTGGTTTTTAAAACAAGATACTCACTTTGATTGGCGATCTGGCCATGGCGTCTTTCATAGTAGAACAGAATATGGAGGCCCAGGCTCTGGTCTCTCCAAAATCCATGCAGAAAAAGGAGATCAGAGTCTTACCCAGAGCACTGGGTTTTTAAGTTTCTCATTCAAGGGAAACTGCCTCAGTGGCCTCAAGAGTGGGGAGGAAATGCCAGGTTTAAAGACCTGACTTCACCTGGAGCACAGCAGAGGAAATGCTTTACCTCTGTATGGAAAGAACAGATTTGCATATTTGAAGAATGGATTATGGGAATAGTTTGAAGTGATGGTGCAGAGAGCATCCGATTTGCCCAAGCTATGATCATCCTGCCAGGAAATAACTATGGGGTGCTGGCTTTGCCAAGCATTAACATTCGCTGCATGATCATGAGCAAATTCACTTTGCCTGTCCTCCTTCCTATTTCAGAAAGATGTTATAAAGGTAGTTTGGGAGAGCAGCAGTGAAATTCTTTCTAGATTAAAATAATAGAAGATTCCATGTTATTTGCATCAATATTATTCATATCTATTTTCTTCTCAAGATTGAGAAAGCCCTTGACCATACTTTTAACAGTACTGGAAACCTGTTAAGTCATCCTCTAAAACTAAATATCTGCCATGTCACTTGTTCATCAGAGGAGCCAAGAGACCATTAAAAAATCTTAGCCTTTTGCCATGTGACAATCTCTTCTTCATTTTGACAACCATAGGCTTGATAAATTGTCACTAATGTTCCTAGAGTCTGGCACCTCAAGTCCAGGGATCTCATAAGAGAAAAATGCCACATTTCAGGAGGAGGATGGAAACATGAAATGTTCCTCAAGTTTTAGATCTTGCTCTTTGTCCCAAGAAATTATGCATGCTTGCTTTCTTGTGCTATTTGTACAAGAGTATAGAGCAAAAAAAGCCAGCTCTCAGAATCTCAAATGAGAAGGAAAAAGCTGCAATTGCATGCTAGTACTGACGATCATCCCAGTTATAAAAAAAGAGGCCAAGTCCACCACCTAAGGAAGCAGGGACAAAGCATGACTGCAAATGAACCTCCGTACATGTCCCTTCTGGGATGGGAAGATCTTCAGTTTCCACTTTTCTGAAACAAAAAGAAAAAAACACCACCAGCAAAGCACTCAGAAACCAATGTATCTGATTAATGCCCAATATTAACTGAAGTAGAAAATAAAATAGACATTCTCATAAAATCCTTTGATATCTGTCTGTTGGGATTTTGAATTTCTTAGACAATGCCTTATAAAAAATAATAAATTTGGGGCCTAGAATGAAAAGGGAGCTCCTAATTTTAGCTAGAAATTCTTCTAAAACAATCAGCCTCAAAACTGCCCCTCAATTACAATAGGATTATGAAATATTTCTTTCAGAAAATAGTCATAACAATGGTCTTTCTGAAAACTCTTTATTTCTTGCTGCTTCAGTCAGCTACTCTTAGTACTGATATTTGTTGTTACATGGGAATTTCATTGATTTGAAAAGATTTGGTCTCCCTTTCAGTCTGCAGAACTGCAATGCCTCATTGTGTCTAATGTCATTGAGAAGAGTTGGCACTCTTATTAACATGTCTTAACTAAATAAGCATGCTGACAGTCAAAGAATTACGTTGCCTAGGATTTTAAAATGGAAGAACAGGAATTAAATCACCCGATGACAGGTAGCAAATTTGACTTCTGAAGAATGGGAATAAAAATGGCTGTGCCCAAATGAGAATGACATATTTCAGAAAGAGCTTGTGTTTCAGGGCTCTGACAAGTTGATCAGGAATCCTACTCATCACAGCAGGGCTTTGGTGCCCTTTTTTCATCCGTCCATCCCTCCATCTCTCCCTCTCTCTCGCTCCTCCCTTCCTTTTACTTTCTCTTCCTCTCATCCTCTTCTGCTTTCATTTTTGCACATAACCATTTCACATCTGATTATTCCATTACTAATATATGTTTCTTCTTACTGCCATAAGCCAGGAACCTTACCAGGGTCATTAAAATCTATACTTTGCAAAAAAGTATATATACATTCATGTGGGTATACATGTGTATATATACACACACACATATTCATACATACAATCTCCACAAAAGTAATCATCTACCAATGCAAGTCTCAAAAACATGTTTAAAATGCAACATATGTCAAATTAAACTATATTTGACCTGAAGAAGCTTCCATACTTTGAGCCCCTACATCATGAGCTACAACCTAACTTAGTGTATAAACTAACTGTAAGCCTAACTTAGGAATATACAAGGGCTGTCTGGAAAGTAGCCAGCCATGGAATATGAAAATTATGGCTGGATGCTTTCTGGATAGCCCTTGAACTTTTGCAACAAACAGCGGAGTCTCAGACAATCACAGAAGCCAAGTTTTAGTCAATCACAGGTGGCCACGAATCATGTCCAAATAAGGCCAACACTGAGCTGTACCCAAACTGTTTCTGCACCTCACTTCTGTTTGCTGTTCATAAATGCCGCCTGGCCCCACGCTGTGGCGCATGGAGCTCTCTGAACCAATTCTGGTTCTGACTGAGGCTTCCCTGATGAATGGTCTTTGCTCAATTCAACTCTGTTAAATTTAATTTGTCTAACATGGGGTTTTTTACTCATTCTTTCTTTTGGTTTTGTTTCATTCCCCTCAACCCCCACTTTGGAAATTTCTTATTTAAAGTGAGAAAAAGAGAAAAGCACTTGACTAACACTAGATAGTTCTATAAGACAAAGATTCTCTCAGGAATATATCTTTTATTAATATGTCAAAACTGGGCGTGGCATTTCTGCCACCTTACCTAGAGTCAATGTGTCTTTCTGAGGCGTTATCTTCAGCACTGATCCAGAAGATTCTGGGAGGTCCACGGTGGAATGCTCTTCTCCAAAGGAATAGGCTGACAAATCCCTGGTTTGACTTTGCCGCCATCTTGTGGAAATTGGGCTACTGGCAAAAGGCTCCTCAGCTGACAGCCTCTTCACAAAGTTGCTCTTGAAGTTGGAATATGTAGTATTAACTGAATCAAATATCTGTTTAACAACAAAAAGAGCTATAAGTCATAGTGGCCTCAGTGATACAAAAGTAAAAATTCCTTAAAAAAGAATTACAAATGACTAATTTAGTACAACACAAATAGAATATATATGTGAGATTTTTAATTTTTATAACCTGAGAAAATGTTATTATATATATATATATTTTTTTTTTTTTTTAAAAAACACCATTACATACTTAGAACCTCTGCTCAAGAATCTGTAGGTATACCAAAATGGTTTAGGAAGTAATTACATTTATAGTTATTACCACTACATATCAATGTAAAATATGACTTACGAAATAACACTATAACTAGGCATGGTGGCTTACACCTGTAATCCCAGCAACTTGGGAGTCAAAAGAATTGCTTGAAGCCAGGGGTTTGAGACCAACCTAGGCAACATAGCAAGACTCTCATCTCAAAAAAAAAGAAGAAGAAAAGTTAGCCAGGCGTGGTGGTATATGCCTACAGTCCTAGCTGCTCAGGAGGCTGACAAAGGATGATCACTTAAGCCCAGGAGTTTGAGGCTGCAGTGAGCTATAACCACCACCGCACTCCAGCCTGGGCAACATAGTAAGACCTCATCTCTTAAATAAATAAATAAACACAAACTAAAGGAACAGTATATTCTGAACATAAAAGATGCATATATAAAATCATAAAATTTCAAATCTGTAAATAAACAGTAATTTTCTAATCCAGCCCTTTTATTTCATAGATGGAGAAACTGAGGCCTGAGCAATGACTTGCTCAGCATCTGTCCATCCCCTCTGAGAAACACCAGGAGTTTGATATCTATAGATCCTATAGTGGTGAACCATGCCATTTAGCTATGTGAAATTAAAGTGCAATTGACAACCTGGAAGTGAATTATTTTTTTAACAAAATGACAGAAAAATTAGATTAATATCCTTATATAAAGAGCTCTATAAGTTGAAATGATAGTTAAAATACTAAAAAACAGAAATAGAATTCAGCCAGGTGTGGTGGTGTCCCAGACTCAGGAGGCTGATGTGGGAGGATCACTTGAGCCTAGGAGTTCAAGTCCAGCCTGGGCAACATAGCAATAAAAAAAAAAGAAGAAGAAGAAGAAGGAGGAGGAGGAGGAGGAGGAGAATAAGAAAAAAAGAGAAAGAAGTAAGACTCAGAATAAATTCTGGGACAAGGACCAAAACCAGCAAAATTAAATGCAACAAGGATGCATGAAAAATCTTCCCATCCTGATGTTTATTCATTGTACAGGCATAAGATGGAAAGGAACTGACACAGTGGAAAAGACTAGCAGTGTCAGACAGTTACCACCAGAATATGAGCCAAGAATATGATGAAATCACCTTTTTCTTTAAAAAGCAGTACAATTTTAGGTCCCATTACGGGAAAATAGTGTTCAGAACAGAAGCAGACAAAACCCCGTTATCTCTGCACCAGTCAGAACTCATGTGGGGAACCATGTCAGGTCCCAGAACTGTCCTTTAAGAAGGGAGACGGGCCGGGCGCGGTGGCTCACGTCTGTAATCCTAGCACTCTGGAAGGCCGAGGCAGGCGGATTGCTCAAGGTCAGGGGTTCGAAATCAGCCTGAGCAAGAGCGAGACCCCGTCTCTACTATAAATATAAAGAAATTAATTGGCCAACTAATATATATAGAAAAAATTAGCCGGGCATGGTGGCGCATGCCTGTAGTCCCAGCTACTCGGGAGGCTGAGGCAGCAGGATTGCTTGAGCCCAGGAGATTGAGGTTGCTGTGAACTAGGCTGATGCCATGGCACTCACTCTAGCCTGGGCAACAAAGTGAGACTCTGTCTCAAAAAAAAAAGAAGGGAGACGGACAAGTCAAGATTCAAAACCTGAGTTCATTTACAGGAAAAGGACCACAATGACAGGGGCAAGGTAAACACAGCAATGGAGCAACACCCCAACACATGTGAGGGTCCTGCTCACATGGAGTAAGGAAACCCAGGGTGTTTAGTCTAGAAGGGAAAAGGCTCAAAAGGAGCTGTCTTCAAATATTTAAAAGGATGCAATTTATGGAAAAAAGAAAATTTTCCTGTTATTGCTTTCTATGACAAAACCAGGACCGATGAATGGGCGGAGGCAAATTTTTATTCAATTCAAAGAACTTTGAAAGAGCACAATTTCTCTTAACACTTTGAATATAAAGTACAATTCTCAGCCAGTCCCTGCACTAGGGACATATGGTTTATACTGGTAGAGATGAACATTATGTATTTTAATGTGACATATATTTTAATGCACATGTTTAAATGTTTTAAAACTTTCAGTGTTGACATAAAGTTTTTCCTTATAAAAAAAATTAAGGAAAAATAAGTATATTGAAATACTCATTTTTTAGTATGAGTATTAAAATGTTCAGTAAAGAACAAATGATATGCAGATATGCCAAAAAACACGGAGGTGGTATGCAAATGACCACAGTTTAGGAAACACCACTGTAGATTGTGCTATTTCATCTTCAATGTTTTTAAACTTGTTCCAGGATCTATCTCCTGCTGAGGAAATGCCTGTCGCATAGTTTTAAATGACTCAAGTATTTATTAATAGAGAGGAAGAGGAAGATAAGAAAAATAAGACAAAGAAGGGAAAAAGGATGAATGACTCGATACTCTAAGCACATCAGTTCAGTTTGTTTACCTTTAGAGTTCTCATCATATTGACACTAAATCGGGAGGAATTCAGAGCACTAGGGCCAACAAATAAATAGAAAGGAACCTAGAGAGGTTAAAAATAAGGTCAGGAAGTTAACAAAATGAAACAACTGGGAAAATAGAAACAAATATAGCTAATGACAAATAATCTGACACACAAATATTCAACGGGTGGGAAAATCTGGACATGCCAGAAAAGACATGCTGGTGATGCCAGAGACCTGCTAGACCCTCAGGACAAAGGCAAAAGTAACAAAGATGGCCCCGTTAACTCTCAAGCCCCTTCCTTAGCCTCTGTCTGCTATCGCACTCACCCCACAACCACCGCCACCAGCCCAATGCAGCAGCATTCTGTCCACGAGACATTATTCAAATTAATCATGAAGACCAAAATGTTCATCCTCTCATTTTTGAACCTCCAGTGTCCTTGCATCCTCGTGTACAATATGACCCAAATGAAGACTGTCAAGATCATTTTCAGGTAGACATTATCCTTTGTTTTCCATTGCCAACACCTCCCACTGGGGTCCCCAGCGCATCTTTAGCACCCACCCCTTTCCTTCTGTGGCTTTGGCCAAGGCTGTCTTCACTAAGACGCTGTTATCTGTCATCTCGACTTGTTGCTCTGCAGACTTCCTGTGACCCCTTCCAGATAACTTGAATACACAGGAACAAGCTTTTTTGGTGTTGTTCTCCACTCCCTCTCCTCTTTGGACCCTTATAGTGATTTCATTTAATACTAAATGTCTCCTGCTAAGTAAAATTCCTTTACCAGAGTACTACAGCAATCTCACGTACCATGTTTTTTCTAAGTAAACATATTTATCTATTACAGAGAAATGGTTTAATGCAGTTGAAATAATTTTGGTTATGAATGTGAAAGTCCTAAACTCTGTTCTTGGTTGTTCCATTCATTAGTTCAGTGATCTTGGCTGAGTTAACTTCTTCGTATTTCAAACAATTATTGGGAAGGAAATAATATATATACTAAAGGAGGTTGTGTACAATATAAAGTTCTCTAAAAAACATAAGTCATTTATTTAGCACTCAGTGATTTGGTGCCTTATCATTCTTCCTTGTTTCATGCGTGTTCACATATCTCCAAAATCAATTTTATATTTGCTTGAGGCTGGCTCCTTCACATGCACTTGACTATATTTGCTATAATCCTAAATTGGTGGATTAACTGAGTCAATTGCTTTATCCCATTCTTGACCCGAGGTCCTCCTTCCCAACCTTGACCTTCAACTCATCAGTCTCTTCCCCTCCTTTGGGAAGCCTGCCTTCTTCTACTGAATGATGCAGATGGTTTTTCTAGCATCATACCCCCTGTACAGAGAAATATGCAATTTTGATATGTAGTCTGAGAATAGTCTTAGTAGAGACAGAACATGGGAGCAATGATGACAGGTCCCCAGAAGGCTGAGAAACGATGACATCGAAGCGTGTGCCGAGAAAGACTCTGCCAAATGAACAAAGGAGGTACGCAAGGACCAAAAACTGTGAGTTCATCCAACGCTGTGCAGGGCAGGAGTTCCCCACAGTGTTGTCTTGAAAGTTTGGTTAATTTCCTGCATGGAAATGTATATATCATGCTTTCATCATTTGAAGCTTTTAAGCCTTAGGAACATTAAATTAACAAACTGGTTCTGATTTCATCCTTCACAAGAGATGTACAGTTAAGCTTTCAAAGTCATGTTCATATAATATCAGATTTTCTGGTCAAATCATCTGAACATCAGGCCTGCATAATAGTTTTATGTCTGCTTGTAAAAACTAGCATGCTGGCTTTTACATCTTGTGCAAGTTTGTACAGCATAATTTTGGCCTTTTCAAATCCATTCAGCTCTGGATCACATGATGGGAATTTATTTTTAAAACAATGGACTAGAAACTATCACAACAATTTTATCAAACTAGTGTCACCCTACGGGGCCCTGCCTGAGGGGAGATTAGTCAACAGCCCTCCCAGAGACAACCACCTCTGTCTTCCCACCTCAAAGCACAGTTACAACGGGATGGGTTTACATGGTTCAGATTATAGCAGGTGCGCTATGAATTAATTTTTAAATTCAAATTCCTAAGCCATTTGCTTGGACAGCTTGAGGAGTTAGTTAAAATATCTGGTGCATCAAAGAAACATGAAACACATTTCACCATGGAAAACAAAGGAAAACAAATAAACAAAAAAAGATTAATGTTTAAAGGTTCTCAAACTTAAATGTGCACATGAGTTAACGGGGGATCTTATAAAAGCGCAGGTTCTGAGTCAGGAAGTCTGGGTGGGGCTGAGACACTGTGTTGCTAACAAGTGCCCGGGTGATGGTGATGCTGCAGCCAAGGGTCCCCCTTGGAGAGCAAAGCCAGAGAGTTTAAGCAACATAACGGTGTTAATGTGCGATATTAACACGGGGACTTTGACTTTTTAAACATCTCAACCAGAGAACACCAACGTAAAATTATCACAGTTAAGAAGTAACACGTCTTGTGTACATCTTTGTTCCTTATTAGAAATTATGTTAAAAAGATAATATTTTTTGCATAATCATTTTTTCTATTATATCTATTCTTACTGGGCCACAAGAGTGGGAGTAAAGTGGTTTCTCTCACAGGTTTTACATGCCTAAGCTGTGAGCTTTGCTTGACTACCCCAAACACACCCCCCACCACCACCACAGAGCGGGCACCCAAAGAATCGCGCAGCCCCCTCCCCCACCAGCACATCTTCTAAAGCTCCACACCCTGTAGCAATGGGAAGGGCAGTCCACGGGCTTCCCTGCTCATCCCCTGCACTCTGGAAACACACCATGACACCAAAGGTCAGGCCCAAGTTGAACAAAGCACCATAATTCAGAACTTTCTTCTGTCTTAGGGCGGACCAAAGCAACCATGGATTTGAGGATATGCAGCCTTCAATTGCCTTCCCACACCGACCCCTAAAATTCAAGACCTTTAGCAACAGCAGAGTTAGGCCTCCTGTAGCAGACAACAGCCAGTGGAAAAAATAAAGATAAAAAATGAAGCAAGTAGATGATGTACCCAAGTAAAAGTAGGTTTGGAGTTTTTTGTTTGTTTTGGATTTTTGTTAGAATTATCATATTTAACTGTTATATTCCTGCTTTATTGTAGAGTTCAGTGTTTTTCCATCTACACGTTACAGCCCATTGGTGAATCGTCAACTCATTTTCATGGGTCAGAACCAGGCTGTTTTAAAAAATGCAATGAAAGTTCATAAAAATGCAATCATAGTTCAAAGAAGTTCTGTTTCATGAAACTTCTCAGTTGTGTGTGTGTGTATGTGTGTGCTCAGTTATGTTGTAAAGTGCATTTCTTACCTGAAGTCACTATCAAAAATTTGAAAAACACTATAGTTTTTCGACTATGGAGAGGAGGAATTTTTACCACCTTAGTTGTTTTTAATCTATTTATCTTTATTGTATTCACCTGGCATTTGATTGCCTTAGCTAGATGAAGTCAGAGTAAATACCCTTTTCAGATAATTCACTGCTCTTTCCACTATCAATTCCTGGAACTCATATAGCATGTTTAATCCACACAGATAATATTGAATTCCTTCAGGTCATGCATTATGTTAATAGGTCACATTTAATCTACATTTTAAACTATTGCTGGATATTATACTCAACCCACTACATCCAACCAAGGTGCTCAATCAGTATACAGGATGCCCATGGTAGCGAGCACTGCATAGCTTTCAAGTTACAAGAGCACCATCTTCTGGCGAAATATTTTCTTAGTAGGGAGTGTTAAAAAGCTACCAAAAATGTCCTGATTTTTCTAGTAAAAATTGCAGTTACATCACTAATACATTCAAATTCTGCAAAGTTCATTGGGGACTCTCACTCTGTTCTCCTTCTAAGAAGGATCTTTCTGTTTTTTAGCAGTGAAAGAAGCTAGTCTGTCCTTTCTGGTTTTCCGTTAAACCACGCTGGTTTCAAGTTTCAGCTCCTCCTTGAATTCCAGCCTGCTGAGACTTCTCTCTAGAATCATCCAAAATGGAGCCTCTTACAGCTTACCCATTAAAATGTACCGGGCCCAAAGCAAAGGTATTTGCAGTTTTGCTGTCGATGGTTCTATGCACAGTAATGCTGTTTCTTCTACAACTAAAATTCCTAAAACCTAAAATCAACAGCTTTTATGCCTTTGAAGTAAAGGATGCAAAAGGAAGGACCGTTTCTCTGGAAAAGTTTAAAGGCAAAGTAAGTTATATCTTTTGATTTTTATTTTTGTTGTTTTTCCATATCTCAGCTTATTCTCTTACTGGAATCATTGTTTTACTGTTACATGGTCATAAGTTAGAATTCAGTCTTCAGAATAATGGTATTAGTACATTACTTTAGTTATCAAAGTTCTGATGCTTAATATACTTGTGATAGTCTCTGATTATCTTGTTTTCTTTAAATTTTTTTAATTTCTGTGCTGAATTAATACTTTAAGTTGCTTAGAAAATGCTTATAGTTGGTAATGTGAATATAGTGACATTTATTAATAAATGTATGAATTCTATAATCTAACATTTAAAAGCATTCTATCAATGATCCTATTATCTTTTATTTCTAAACACACTTTTGGGACATGAGTACCTAATGCTTTTTTAATGACAGTACTATTTCAGGGTCTGCTTGAAATACATTCAGGTTATGGTTTTTAATAAAATTGAATAGATCTGAAAATATAAAATAATCATCTATCAGAAGTTACAATCCTCCGAAATGCTTTGAGATTTTAACTACTTGCAGGATCTTTTTTTTTTTAAATCTTTTGCTTCACTTTCCGGTTGGATTTTTTTCTTTTTCCGGGAGGTTTCACTAGTTGTAAACGTGGCTAGTGACTGCCAGCTCACAGACAGAAATTACTTAGCACTGAAGGAACTGCACAAAGAGTTTGGACCGTCGCACTTCAGCGTGTTGGCTTTTCCATGCAATCAGTTTGGAGACTCGGAGCCCCGCCCCAGCAAGGAAGTAGAATCTTTTGCAAGAAAAAACTACGGAGTAACATTCCCCATCTTCCACAAGATTAAGATTCTAGGATCTGACGCAGAACCTGCATTTAAATTTCTTGTTGGTAAATATCTACCTTGCCTAACCAGTATAACGTTTCCAATTGCTTTTTGTTTTTAAACAAATATGTCAGGAAAATCTTTTCCTATTTTATTTGAAATGTTGGATTGGGAAAGCTTAAAAAAAAGTATCAAAGAGCCAGAATCTCATCCTTTGTAACTTTCTACAAGTTATGCTTCCCTGAAGTCAATGTTTTAGTCAATACTTCTTAGATGTAAAAGAATTCCATTCCAATGTATTTTATTCCTTATAACCATCTCCTTCAAGTTACCTAAGGTGTAGCCATGGCTATTTTCACAAAATATCTCAATTCTCCTCTCATTTAACTAGCATTTGGGGAAATGTCCCTTCCCATGATTAAAGCCACACATTTCTCATGAATATTGCTAAGCATTTTTAAGCATATCTCTGTGGTTAATTTTATGTTGCCTTTCTTATCTGGAACAATATCCTCAAGAATGAATATCTCGGTTAACCAATATGACCAGATTTTTTTTTAGAGGGCAGTAGTGTTAGGCCACCTCTACAATTAAGCTAGCTACAGAAATCTATTTAAAAGACTCGCCAAGGTCAGTTAGCACCAAGGTAGTGTGGTATAGTGACAGTAGAGGCTTTGGCCTCAGACTACTTGGGTTCAAAAACACTTTTGCTTTTGCTGTGTGGCTTCAGGCACATAACTTAACTTCTCTGTGCTTGTTTTCTCATTTGTAAAATGAGGCTATCAATAGTACCTGCTTCCTAAGATTGGAGGATTAAGTGTGTTAATAGTAAAAATAAAGTACTTATACACTGCTTACTCTATGCTATTCTAAAGGACATTGAGCTAATGTTCTCTCACCTAATTTATTTTGATAACATCTGCAGACCTATTTGCACTGTAGATAATTTGAGTTTTGATAAAACTATGACCTTAGGCAATCAAGCTTTCAAACCAAGCAACCAGTAATGATGCTCTATAATATTTCACTTAAATGTGAAATCAGAATCTTCTAAAAACATCAATATTCAATTTCTAGGGAAAGTTGATATAATACCTAACACAAATAGCAACCTCACAGTGAGGTCTTTATTCCTTTTGTTCTTAAGGTACACTGAGGAAAGAAAAGCCAGAGCATGTGCCCTTGAACTAATCACTCCTCAGTTATAGCAGCCAGATACTTGGGCACAATAGCACATAGGTTATTCCCTTTTATCACTAAGAGAGCTTCTGAAACTCCACTTACCCTGTGTAATCAAAAAGGTAAATGTCATTTAAAGTTTCACTGGGCCAGGCGCGGTGGCTCCCGCCTGTAATCCTAGCATTATGGGAGGCCGAGGCAGGTGGATTGCTCAAAGTCAGGAGTTCGAAACCAGCCTGACAAAGAGCGAGACCCCATCTCTACTAAAAATAGAAAGAAATTAATTGCCCAACTAAAAATATATAGAAAAAATTAGCCGGGCATAGTGGCGCATGCCTGTAGTCCCAGCTACTCGGGAGGCTGAGGCAGTAGGATCTCTTGAGCCCAGGAGTTTGAGGTTGCTGTGAGCTAGGCTGACTCCATGGCACTCTAGCCCAGGCAACAGAGTGAAACTATGACTCAAAAAATAAATAAATAAATAAAAATAAAGTTTCACTAAACTTAGATGGGAAGGGTAACAGAGCCCAGATGTTAAGAGCACAGCTCTGGAGTAAGAAGGCCTATACCTTCTTACCACTCACTAGCTACATGACCTTAGGTCTAGGCCTCCATTTTTCTCATCTGCAAAATAGGGATAATAATAAATCCCCCTACATAGGATTGCTGTAAAGATTAAATGAGAGGATCCATTTAAAGCACTGAGCATACATTACTAGGCACGTGATAAGCACTTCATAGATGTTAGTCAATAATATGAACATAAATCCTGAGTGACATAGAGAAAACATCCACATTTCTTGCATAAAGTTAGATTTATCAAAAGAATATCATAATTTCTCAAAATGAGATTATTATTTAGAATTCCTTACCATTTTCAGCTATATAATATGTACCAATGCTAAAAACATTGGTATATGTAACATGAAAAGCAATCCATATATTTCCATTACCAAGGATCTTTAAGACATCATTTTGTCTTTAAAAATGTTGAGAAAGTTTTGAGCTGGTGAAGGTAAAAATGTTATTCTTTAGATCAATAAATCTAAAATATTAATAAAAAGCATTGTCTCTAGATATTTCATGATTCTAGATAAGTAAATTCATAGGTGAAGTCATCAAATATATTGAAATCTGGTTACTCAAACCTTTAATTTTGTTTTGTTTGGATGTTTGCTTTATTTTCTTTTGTTTTTGACATTATGACAATGATGTCATACTAAAGTTATTTCTTACACAGATACTAATAGAAATAAAAATCCTGACAAAGAATAAAATTATACTCATGCAAATATGTTCTGGATATTTTAGATTCTTCAAAGAAAGAACCAAGGTGGAATTTTTGGAAGTATCTGGTCAACCCTGAGGGTCAAGTTGTGAAGTTCTGGAGGCCAGAGGAGCCCATTGAAGTCATCAAGCCTGACATAGCAGCTCTGGTTAGACAAATGATCATTAAAAAGAAGGAAGATCTATGAAAATGCCATTGAGCCATTCTAATGCAATAGTCAGAACAGAGAAAATCTCCGTGAGGGTTTGGGCTCATTTTAACACTCTGACAATCAAATATGGCAATGAAGGATGACTTTTTTTATGTTATCTTGCTGGTCGGTGGTAATGAATGTCCCTAGGATGAAGATGTTACCCAAAGAAAAATAAAGAGCAGCCAAAGAATCAAAATGAAATATATAAAATACCATACTAAAAAATTCAGAATACACAGTGATCAATGTGCTTCAATAGCATATTGCTCAACTTGACATTTTCTCAGATTGTACTTGATGCAAACACCAACACACTAGACCACTGTTTGGCTTCAAAAGCACTGTGTGTGACTGAAATTTTTGGAGTAACTAACTATAAATGAATATGTTGATATAATACACACAAAATAAATGTTGAAAAATGTAAAGTACATATACATAAATTCGAACCTTTGTATATGATTGTTTTGTGTACAGGATTTTATGTGGTTTATTTTGAGGTTTTATCTTTCAAGTACAGGTTCCTAGTGTGTTTTACCATATCTAGCCAAATAGTCATTTATAAATGGTATTATCATAACACTTGAAAAAGCTTTCATCATTTTTAATATTTGTCTCCCCACTATTTTTTAGAAGCAACTCAAATTACATAATTAGAATATTAATAGTTGAGTCCATCTTAATTTTTGAGTGAAAATCCCAAGTGTATGGAAAAGGACTTGAGTAAATGAGCATTTAGCTTCATTCTTTATAGGTTGATTTTGGTTGCTAATATATTCAGACTGGATTAGCCATTTGGAAAGAATTCAATGCTCCATCATTCTAATAGCTAAAATAGTAAAAATCAACTCTAGTCAAAACTCTAATGTAAAAAAGGGGGTGATTGCAATCACACAATCCTAAACTGTGGATCAGCAATCACTGAATCTTTTGGTGGAGGCATAATATACTTTTTCTCTCAAAGTCATGACCTTTATATTTTGTCAGCCTTCTAATTATGAACTAAAACAGCAAGCTGCCAAGTTGGTGAAGGTTAATTATTGCTCTATGAAATATATATTCATTGCATTAAAGATTTAAATGGGAAGACAGGCCCAAAATGTGAAAATACAGTCATGTAAAATCTGGCTAAGAAGGAAGACGACTCATTTTATATAGCCTGTGACTTGACTTCCAAATTCTGACCTGATGGACGAAAGTGAAGATGAGGGGTGTGAGCAGAAGTGCACATGCCAACACCACACGGGCAACAGAGACTCCCCACTGCCAGATGGGTGATCATGGAGCTGCACTGGGACCAGGACTGTCCCGGTGAGTGTGATGCAGATGAACATCCTGCCTAAGTCACTAGTTCTCTCCAAAGCCACATAAGGTGGCTTTCTTCCCTTAGGTATTTCCAGCCCTGTTGCTTTATTTAACCTGCAGTCTCCACTATAGTGGGTGCTTGACTCTCTCCCCTTGCCTTTTGGGCAGGCAGAGCAGGCAAGTGGGGATTTGAAAGTTTGTTGCCTTATTGCCTTGAAAGAAATGAAATCCATGTGTCCACTCGGGGTCCCGGGGTTCCGTAACAGGCTATGTGTGCCAAAGAGGAAGTGAAGCCATTTGCCAATATGCTGCTACCTGTAACTCAAATGTCTCATAGGAATGCCGCCAAGCAAAGCACACTACGAGGAAAAGTTAAATCATTCTTGAATCTTGTCTCTGCATCAAAAAGTCTGGGACATAGACAGCTACAGGATGCCTGAACTATGGAGTCTAACTCAAAAGTCTCAGGCATCACATAAAAGGGTATTCAGCTGTTGTCCTCATGACAAAAGAAAGGGGCAAAATCAAATGCATTTTAACTGTGGTAAGGAATCCACTGACTGGAGGTTGGTTTGTTTCCTTTGGTGGGTGGTGGAGAGGAATACCTCATACCAACTCTATCATCTCACAGCAGATATAACTACAGAGATTGGAATAAATATTAATTTGCCTGAAACGTACTGTGAAAGTTGTACTTCATTTTTGAAAATGTTCAATAATTATAGCGTATCTATAGCATGTACATATGTACATGTATATATAATCCTTAATAGGTATAGTATATATGGCAGATGCATGATGGTGGCTGGTAAATATTTAACAACAGACTCTGGAGGAGGAACCCTGAAGTGCACCATGCGCCAGTCTCCATGTAAACGCTCCCACGTGGCCAATTTCAATCTTCCAATAGTTTAATAACTAGTTTGGAAAATTTCTGGAAATTTTCACAATTAGTTCTTACAAACCAAAACAAGCCATCTCCAGCACACCAAAATTCTTAAAAATTAGATTTTATCAGGGTAACATAAGACTCCCCAAAGGAAGAAAATCTAGATCAAAAACAAATCACACATACTCTCTTTCATTATGCTCTATTTGACAGGTGTTACAAAAATGTGGAAGTGTATGCAGTTTCTGAGTTATGAAAAGATGCTAATAGGATTCTGCCTAATCACACTAAAATCTAATGACCTTACTGGATTGTCTGTGGATAATACCAACTAGGAAAATGGATGGAAGGAAGGAAGTCCAAGAAGAAATACAAAATATCATGTTAATTTGTGGTGTTTCTTCAAAAGAAAAATGACATGTTTGGGTAGAGCTGATACAGGGTCACTATGTCTGTATTTAGTCCTCAGCTTGATTTCATCTTTCCCATGGAATAATAAAATTCTAATATTGTTACACCTAGAAACTAACCCATCACACTCCTTCCCACTCTTCCCTTCCCTTCCTCCTGCTGAACTGTTAAGGCTGTACCTTGCAGAGTGGTGCAGTCTCTTTGTGTTTCGGGATAGGGAGGGAATAAAGAACAGCAAAGAGTGAGAATTAGGGAGCCATTCAGAGGGTAGTGACGGGAAGTGAGTGAGCCTCCCAATCCTTCTTTTTTTTTTTTAAGGGTCTCACTCTGTTGCCAGGGCTGGAGTGCAGTGGCGTCATCATTGCTCACTGCAGCCTCAAACTTTTGACTTCACACAATCTTCCTGCCTCGGCCTCTCAAGTAGCTGGGAGTATGTCACCATACCCGGCTAATTTTTTTATATTTTTTGCAGAGACTGGATCTCACTATATTGCCCAGGCTGGTCTTGAACTGCAGGCCTCAAGTGATCCTCCCTCCCACCTTGGCTTCCCAAAGTGCTGGATTATAGGTGTGAGCCACCACACCTGACCTTCTCCTTCTCTTTTTTCAATCCCTTCCCCTCTGCTTGTTCCATGACTTCCCAGTGTGTATCTCTTTCTTTCCCTCTCCCTTCTATGGAAACATTTTCTTTTTGAATTTATGTCTTCATTTTCCTCCTTACCCACTGATTTCTTTAACTTATTTTTATTTCATTCTATTCCTTCCCTCTTTTCTCATCATCTCAATAATATAGAACTAAAGAACAGCTTTAAATATGAATTCTGTTTATTGAGTACAAATGTTGGCATTTTATGTCTTGCTCTGTAATTTAAAAAAATTAAAACACAAAGGCCAAGCCTTCTAAATTTAGTAGGTTTTATTTTTATCGACAGGTGAGCGACTCTACATAAAATAAGATGTTGAAATTTAACCTTAAAAAAAACAAGATGAAAACAATATTTACATGCAAGAAATACTTAAACACAAAGATCCTGAAAGTGAAATACTACTTGAGCAACAACAAAAATAGGATGAGACTGGAAAGTAGCAAAATGCATAAGAATCAAATTATAGGTATCTATTTAACCTATGTTCTACAAATATGTTTAAATTTAAATAAAGTAAGCATAAAGATTATTTTACCAATAACTTATAATCCAATACAGTAGAGAGCGTGACATATTTCTCACATCTCGTTTAGGCTGTAACTAATTAACCAGACCACCAAAGTCAGTTCCACTAACTGGCTGCAGATGTCCCCAAGAGCACACTGCACACCTGGGAGCCAGCACACATCTCATGCTGCTGCACAGGTCAGAGTGGCCTCCAAAAGAATGAGAAAACATTCAAAATCACACTTTATGGTCAGTTCTTCCCACTTCACAAGTTAGAACTCACGTTCTCATCCTAATATTTTATGAGCCTGTGATTTTACAGATGAAGTAAAGAATTGAGACAAATCTTCCAAACAATTTAATCCATCCCCCACCAAAAAAAAAAAAAAAAATTCCCCAATGTTCTTGATATTTCAAGTAAAAATGTTTTACTTGATTGAATCATCTGAAAAATTACCTCAAGTCTCCCTTTAGCTGGTACACACACGATCATAGGGATCTACTCTAATCCCATATGAAGAAACTGATAGCCCAGAAAGAATATCAAAGATTTAGTTGAAAATTGGGAGAAACATTGCAGGCTCTCCATCCTAAATTATTATTATATTCTAAATCTTATATTAAGAATATATATATATAGTTTCACAAATACTTTATCACTGTCTACCTAAGACTCCAAAAACACTACTTGAAGTTTTTTAGGTAATTAATTATAGTACTTTCTTTACCATTAAAAAGCTGTTCATTGTATTATAGTAGAGTAACTGAAGAGCAATAATAATTTATGGTAAACAGTGTCCTGCTTCACAGCAAACATACACACACACATTAATTACAGATTTAGTTACACTCGATGTTCATTGTATATGCAATAAGACAGCAGTTGCATGTTAGCTGATGCCATTCACATAATCAACCAGCTAACAATACACTGCCAACCCATCACACACAGGTAACGAATGCACTTCATTAACAAGAAGAATTTGTCCAGAAGCAAGTGGCAGTGTAGTAGTGGCTGCTGACTTGACCCAAAGCAGCCAGCTAACAATACACTGCCTACCTGATTCAGGTCACTGCCCATTTTCATGGCCCATAAAGTCACTGAGGCTAAATTTGTAATATGAAACACAGTAGCAGAACTTTAATCTTAATAGTCACATTAAAGAAAATTTATAGGCAAAACTTGTTACTCTAAAACTATAATGAATAAAATCAATATTTTCTTGAATCCAGCCAAAAACTTGAAAGTTAAAAAACAGCTAAAAAAGAAAAGCTTTTAGAATACTTACACTTAGGTTTTCCAAATTAAAAGCTTAGGTAATGAAGATATATTGTTATAATACAAATGAATTTAAAAATCACTTAACTATAGCATTTTAAATTACTTATATTTACTGACCAAAAGATCAGTTGTATTAGGCAGTAAAATATCTAGAAGTCATGATAATACATAAGCTGAGCATGAGACAAAACTGCAACAATGTTTGGGGGAAAAAGTCAATGTTAAAGTATTTAAAGAATTTAAGTACTTAAATGACATTAGTTTTCTCCCACTATAAATGATATTAGTCATTGAGTTCTGAAAGTGCAGTTATGTGTTCACTTTAGAGTGTCACCACTTGAATATAGAAAAATTTATAGAATATCTAGAAAAATCTATAAAATCTATAAAAATGATGATGGATTTGAAACATATCTATCAGTAAAGGTTAAAGGATGGTGAACTATTTAGAGACAAGCATCATCGCTTCTCGGCCTTTTGGCTAAGATCAAGTGTAGAGACAAGCATGGTAAATGATATTCATGAGAGATTTAGAACATATGAGGGCTGTTAGAAAATATCATTTAAATTTGTTTATTTTTACACTGATTAGAAGAGAAACTAAAGACTTACGGGCTTGTTCTTTCAAGGAGAAAAGGCACTACATTTGATCGCCTTTTAAATGGCTAACGTAAACCGCGGTTATGCCGCTTCCCGCATTGTCCACCAGATGGCACCATCCCCATTTCTTTGGGGAGCAGGCTTCCGAATGCAGCAGACGGGAGTGCAACCAGCAACTGTTAAACTGAAATTATAACAGCCAGCTAGCAAAGCACTGCCTACCTGACACATCCAAGCTTTACCTTTTGCTGTTGAGGCAAAAACTAGGAAGCACCATTCAGATAACAAATGAGTACCATTATTTGTCCGTGACCTTCAGTTTCTTGAAGAAAAAAAAAATTTTTTTTTTGAGACAGAGTCTCACTTTTGTTGCCCAGGCTAGAGTGAGAAGAAATTTTATTTAGCATGTAATCAGGGTCTTGTAGTGACAGAGATTGATTTTTTTTTCAATCCTCATATTTTCAGGCCAGCCCACACTTCCTACAGATACCTTCTTTTAGCAAGAAGGAGTCTGTTCAAGATCAGCGTTAGGGAGGTGAACAAGACCGAGCAGGGGACACTCACCTGGGGGGAGCCTTGACTTCTCTTCCGCTCCAAGTCTCCGGCGAGCACGCGCATGATGCTCTCCTTTGAAAACACAGATAACACGCTGAGAGACACGATGTGGGGACATGTGATGGCGGGTGTGGAGCTTCCCCAGGTCCCGTGCTTGTCAAACTGCCTTCGCTCTTTTTTTTTAAAGCAACTAGGCATCTCCAGGATATAACTAACTAAACCACACGACTGGAAATCGGGGCCCATCTGTGTCAAGTTCGGAACCGTTAACAACAAGACCAGCTGTGGAGATTTGCGCGCCTCGACTCACCCACAGCGCCCGCTCCTCGGCGCGGACCCTCCGCGGGGCGGCGCGCTCCAGCTTCCAGTCCATCGCCCGCGCCGCCGCCGCTCTCCCGGGCCTGAGCCGGTCTCCTCGCCGAAGCGCCAGCCCCCAGGGCCCGGTCCGCCAGGGCCGCTCCGCCGCCCGCCCCTCAGCCCCGCTCTCCCACCGCGCCCGCCGCGGTCCCCGGGGTCCTGATTAAAAAGCCGGCGGGGCGGCTCCGAGAGCGGGAATCCCCCTCGCCGGCTCCCCATTGGCCGGCGCGGCGGTGACGTCAGCCCGGAGGGTTCCCCGCCGGCGCCCCGCCCCGCCCCGCTCGCCGCCCGCCCGGCGCCCGCGCAGCGCCGAGCCTTGCCGCGGGCAGTGGCGGGCCTGCGGCCGGGCCCGCGCCCAGGACCGCGGGCGGCGGGAGGCGGAGGGTTGGCGGGCCGAGAAGCGGGCTCTGCGAGTGTGTGATCTCTGCATTTGCCGGAGCAAGCATGTTTGCTTACGACGGCCCGCGGCTCTGTCCGCGCCCCACCCGCCTCGGGGACCGAGCGCGCGGCCACTCCCGGCCTCGGCCCACTGGTGACGGCCAGTGCCGTCTGTGTAGGCTACCGATTTCAGACGGTCCCCCATCAACTCTCCCTCGTTTTAAACAGGCAAGAAAACGTGGCAAGATGTCTGCGCTGATGGGAATATGCGCGGACCAGTCTGTTCAATAAATTCTTCTCTGTTCTATACCCACTGGGAAGTGGTCAGGGCCTTCACTTGAGCTTCTGAGCTACGTCCCTAAACTGGAGGTTGGCGGAAGGCAGCGAAAGAGCCAGTGACAGGCAGGACCTCAGAAGGAGTGAGGAGCCAGCAAGACAACTGCGCAGACCGGGACTGGGGGATACGGGGAGAGGATGCTACCGAGGGTTGAGGGAGGGGTCTGGGGGCAATGACGAGGAGCCAGATGGGCTGTGCAGCCTCAGCTGCCCTTCTGAGCAGCCAAGAGGGGCAAGCTGTGCCATATGGCATGAGGGAAAACTGTGTCTGAGAAACCTCTGACAGTCTGGCAGCTACTCTCCCCTCCTTCCCTCTCTCCCCCCCTCTTCAGCCCACCCCCACCCCACTGGACACTGGATTGCATTTTGCTCTAGTGCAATATGTGGGTTTCTGTATTCTGGGGGAAAGAGTTCATAGACCAAATTCTCAAAAGGATCAGTAATCAAAATAAAAAGCTAAAACGGACTCTCCAGCTTTCCTTTATACTGAAAGCAAGAAAAATTGGCATTAAGACTAAGACCTAATCTTAGACGAGTTTTCCACGTACAACGATAATGCTGCACAGGGGGTAACTTAATCTTCAAGTGAGATTTACCACATGCTTGATAGTCAAATAACTCTTGGGTCTCTAAGTTTCACTGACAAGAATTCTACTTTCTTTGCCGTGCATTCAAAGGAGTACTCATTCCAACTCCCAGTAAATCTTTTCAGCAAATATTGAGACTAAATAAAGTGAACTATCTTTGGATGAATGTCAGATGCATTGTTAATTTAAATGATCAGTTTTGCAAATGCCAACTAAAACTAACACTACGTCAGAAATAACATGAAAGACATTTTATCTTTGCTCTATTTTTAAATATAGTTTTGTATTAACACAGAAGTAATAAAAATTCAATTAATAAGCTGATAAATCCATGTAAATTGGAATTTTTAGAATCCAAGTTCTTACAAATACTAAGAATAGTGAATAATTCATTTAGAATGTAGTTATCTATAAATAATACATTTATAAATTCCATTTTAGCCACTAATTCCACAGCTATCAATACACAGCTTCCAAGTGCCTTTTTTTCCTAGTGTAATGTAGAAAATTATTAGTCAAATATCTTCCTTTAAAAAGTTTTTGTACCTTTAAATATTCAGATTAAAATTTAACGTCAGAATGATGGAAATAGAAAATCACCAGTTGGTAAATATCACAGCAATAACTGTCATAGTCAAGAATTATGAATGCTAAAATTATTGTGCATATGATGAGGATATTTGCCCCCGGTGATTAAACAAAAAAAGTAAAATCACAACTTTTCATTGGATAAACCCAGAAGAAACCACCCTCACCAAGTGATTATAAATATCATCCCCATTATGAGACGTATTGACATCATGTGCCTCCTGATAGGCTGCACTGAGGAGGGCACATCACTTCTGTGGTCTTCTCACCAAAAATGCATAACCTGAATTTAATAATGAGAAAATACTAGACAAACCCAAACTGAAGGAAAACCCACAAAATAATTGGCCAGTACTCTTCAAGTGTCACTGTCATGGAAAAAGAAAAGCTAAGAAATTGTCACCGATTAATAGAAACTGAGTAGACATGCCAACTGAATGTATTGTGAGGTTCCAGATTGAATCCTAGATCCCAAATAATAATAATATCTGTAGATTAGTTAATAGAGTAGTAGTAATGCTAATTTCCTAATTTTTATTGTACCATGGTTATATGCAATATTAACATTTAAGGAAGTTGGTGAGGGACATAATGGGGTTCTTTGTACTATTTTTGAAACATTTTTCCTGTATCTGAAGTTATTTCAAAATAAAAAAATTTAACATCATGTGATCATTCTAATAAAAACACTTTGATACAACTGTTTAGGGGAAAATAGAAATATAAACGTGTCGTCTTAATTTTTATCAAATAGGGTTTAGGAACAATGTCTAATTCAAATATTCATGTGCCTGTGAGTAATTTACTATCTTCGAGATGTTTCCCCTCTGAGAATGGGTTTTGCAGGGAGATGTGTGGCCAAGAGAAAGGCTGCGAGGGAGCCCAGGTGCACAGTGAGGAAGGGAGAAAGAGTACGGAAATGGTTTCCTTGACTCTCAAATCTGTCGCTGCTCTGAGAATCTGACGGGTCCCTACCAGTGGGAAGCAAGAAGATAGCCAAGCTTCTAAAATGCAGATTTTTTTCAGTTACATAATTACATTTTTTGTGCTAATAGTAATGTTAAATATCTCAGAAATATGCAATGTACAACGCAAACTCCCTTCATGCGTTCTCCCAGCCTCCTCCTTCCCCCCCAGAGCTTCGTCAGCCCTTTTTCCACGTATGTCCCTATACACGCTGTGCACACGTGGTAGTTCGGCCCTATGAATCTTCCCACGTCTATGGGACCTCGTTATACTTATCGTGCTGCAGCCTGCTTTTTCTACTGCGCTGTACTCGATTGCTTTTCCAGCAATGCAAACTGCAGGGCTCCCCATCCCCAACGCCAACGGCCGGTTCCCGCGCCCCTCGGCCCGCGCCCTCTCCCGCCGGGCTGTGGGCGGGTCCCGCGCCCGCCCGCTCTGGCTCCCGCGCCCCGCGCCCCGCGCCCGCTCGCGCCCCAGCTCCTGCGCGCCAGCCCGACCCGCCCTGGCGCGCGCCTACTGGACAAAAGGGACCGTTGGTGTTTTCTTCAACAGTCCCCCGGGCACGTGCCCCGCCGCGTGGGGGTTGGGGGGAGCCCCGCGCAGGCCGGCGGGAGTTAACCCAGCTCCAGGCTGTGTGGGGCGGGGGTTAGGCTGCACGGAAGGGAGAGGTTGGGACGGCTACACTCTAGTGGAGTGAGGATGTCGGCCCTGAAGGGGAAAGAAAGGGAAAAATGATCCCAAAGAACTCAGAGTCAGAATTGCGGATGGATGGATGGATGGATGAATCCCTTACAGTCTAGGCTATATCAGTGAGGCCCAAAACCTTAACTTGCAAAGGTTCTAGCAATGTAAAAGCCTCAATCAGAAAAGCAGTCAATAAAGTAGCCCATCACCTCTGGATACCTTACTGTTGTCAATTCCAAGTAGTTCATGTATATGCATATTTTTTCTATTGCCGCCTGGTTTCTAAGTTCAGTAAGGGTCTGTCCTTTAAAAGTGTTTCTCCATCCATAACGAACTAATGAAGATGGAGGGTTAGGTTTGCCCACCTTTATAGTGTGAAAATCTTAAAACCATTTCACCTGCAACCACTTCCTTTAATGCCATTTTTCCTCTCTCTTCCTCTTTAGGGTAGTTCTTCCCTATAGGGTAGTGGCCAAATAAGGTAGTTCCCCACAGTTTTAAAGCAATGTAAGGAAAATATCAAACTGAAATTTGTACAAAACAATAGATGGAATTAGGTGTATGAAGAAGATCCCCCCCCCAAAGAAAAGCCCGCTAGTGGATGCTCTAAACTTGAAAATCTTATCTTTTCATGAGATAGTCTATCAGCACTTCAAATGCAATATAATCCAAAACAGAACTGAGATCTTTCCTTATTCCCATTCTGCCCAAACCACCTATTCCTCCTCTGTGTGACCTGTTGCCAATATCACTATCTTCCAGGTGGAACAGAGGCAACATCAGGCTTCTTTAACTCTTCCCCTTTCCCACATACCCAAATCCAGCTATTGAAAACAGTCCTTTCCCCCTCTGCAGTGTTGGTTACATCTGCCCTTTTCTTGAATGATAACAATAACCTGATAACTCAACCTACAGCCTATTCCCCTTCCATTCCATTCATTTAACTGTATTTATTTGCACCCAGCAAGGCCATGCACTATGCAAAGAAGTGGAGATCCAGTGATAAAGCTATAAAAGGCACTAAGCATTATCTTGAGTTGATCATATTTCCTTGAAGGACCTTCCTTACACATAGAATTAAGTTCCAAACCATCTAATTCACATAAAAGCCCTTTATCACTTAGCTTCTTTCTGCCTTCCCCCCAGCTCCCTTTGCACAATCTCCCACAATACCCCAATGCCTCCCATATTCTCCCCACGTGGTTGATGCCCAGCACTGTCCACTGCCCTATCTTTGCTGAGGCTGCCTCACTTTTGGATCGCCTTTTCCCCTATCTTTTCCTGGCTAAATACTACCTTTCAAATTTCAGCTACCTCTTCCAAAAAAAGCCTTCTCAAAAAAGCCTTCTCACACTAGCTAGAATTTCTTTCTCTTCCCTATGTTCCCACTGCATAGTTTGTAATTCTAGTCTGCTTGCTTCTAGATTTTACATGTGTGTGTGTGCATACATTCTCCACTGTATTGTAAGCTCCAAGAATACAAAGTTCTTGTCTTTTTCATCTGTGTCCTCTTCACTGCATTGCACA